ACATACATACATACATACATACATACATACATACATACATACATACATACATACATACATACATACATACATACATACATACATACATACATACATACATACATACATACATACATACATACATACATACATACATACATACATACATACATACATACATACATACATACATACATACATACATACATACATACATACATACATACATACATACATACATACATACATACATACATACATACATACATACATACATACATACATACATACATACATACATACATACATACATACATACATACATACATACATACATACATACATACATACATACATACATACATACATACATACATACATACATACATACATACATACATACATACATACATACATACATACATACATACATACATACATACATACATACATACATACATACATACATACATACATACATACATACATACATACATACATACATACATACATACATACATACATACATACATACATACATACATACATACATACATACATACATACATACATACATACATACATACATACATACATACATACATACATACATACATACATACATACATACATACATACATACATACATACATACATACATACATACATACATACATACATACATACATACATACATACATACATACATACATACATACATACATACATACATACATACATACATACATACATACATACATACATACATACATACATACATACATACATACATACATACATACATACATACATACATACATACATACATACATACATACATACATACATACATACATACATACATACATACATACATACATACATACATACATACATACATACATACATACATACATACATACATACATACATACATACATACATACATACATACATACATACATACATACATACATACATACATACATACATACATACATACATACATACATACATACATACATACATACATACATACATACATACATACATACATACATACATACATACATACATACATACATACATACATACATACATACATACATACATACATACATACATACATACATACATACATACATACATACATACATACATACATACATACATACATACATACATACATACATACATACATACATACATACATACATACATACATACATACATACATACATACATACATACATACATACATACATACATACATACATACATACATACATACATACATACATACATACATACATACATACATACATACATACATACATACATACATACATACATACATACATACATACATACATACATACATACATACATACATACATACATACATACATACATACATACATACATACATACATACATACATACATACATACATACATACATACATACATACATACATACATACATACATACATACATACACATACATACATACATACATACATACATACATACATACATACATACATACATACATACATACATACATACATACATACATACATACATACATACATACATACATACATACATACATACATACATACATACATACATACATACATACATACATACATACATACATACATACATACATACATACATACATACATACATACATACATACATACACATACATACATACATACATACATACATACATACATACATACATACATACATACATACATACATACATACATACATACATACATACATACATACATACATACATACATACATACATACATACATACATACATACATACATACATACATACATACATACATACATACATACATACATACATACATACATACATACATACATACATACATACATACATACATACATACATACATACATACATACATACATACATACATACATACATACATACATACACATACATACATACATACATACATACATACATACATACATACATACATACATACATACATACATACATACATACATACATACATACATACATACATACATACATACATACATACATACATACATACATACATACATACATACATACATACATACATACATACATACATACATACATACATACATACATACATACATACATACATACATACATACATACATACATACATACATACATACATACATACATACATACATACATACATACATACATACATACATACATACATACATACATACATACGTACATACATACATACATACATACATACATACATACATACATACATACATACATACATACGTACACATACATACATACATACATACATACATACATACATACATACATACATACATACATACATACATACATACATACATACATACATACATACATACATACATACATACATACATACATACATACATACATACATACATACATACATACATACATACATACATACATACATACATACATACATACATACATACATACATACATACATACATACATACATACATACATACATACATACATACATACATACATACATACATACATACATACATACATACATACATACATACATACATACATACATACATACATACATACATACATACATACATACATACATACATACATACATACATACATACATACATACATACATACATACATACACATACATACTGACATACAGGATACATACATAATACAACATGGATACATAATAACCATAACATACATACATACAGACATCATACATACATGGTGAACATTGGGTTAAGACAGACAGAAGACAGACATACATACATACATACAAACCTAAATTGGGTTCTGAAGCAGGACTGTAGGAAAGAAGAAATAACCAGAAGATGACGAATATGCGCAAAGAAGAAGAAGAAGTTAAATTCTTGGTACTCATTTTTAACCACAAGAACTGGATATCGAACTTCAGTTTGTTAGTGATGACAGTGAGATTGTGGAGTTCAAGGTTTGAGGCAGACCGGACGTCTGATGAAAGGAGGAGCAACAACAACAACAAAACGAAGAATGCAAAGACAAGAATTATACAGCAATACCTCGTAATTCGAGCTTATCACAATTCGAACGACTTAGAATCCGAACAAAATCTGTATGTGGATTTTGCATAATAACTTGAACACGGACTTGGAAACTGCATATGCCAGCTAACAACGCAAGAGCTTCAGCACCTTCACTAGCAGCAGAGGGAAGACATTTCTTCAGAGGAGGAAGAGGGGGAAGCTGGAAGGGTTAGCGTTGTTGAAATCCACAATCTTTTGACCATGCGGTCGAAATCCTAAAGAAGTTGTTGCGAGGCGGCACCTTGATAGGGACATAATTAACAGGTACGTTGACTTATTACAGTAAAGCTACTGTAGAGGGCGGACGAGCCATGGACCAGGCTGATATTCTAAATGCTCTAAGCGAAGTAAGACTTGCAAGAACCAGGTGATTACTGTGAGTCTGCAACAATGACCAGACTGCAAGAACAACATGTTAAAATGGGTGTGGCCAGACAAGAGCACTGTGCAGGAAGCCAGAGAAGAATAAGAAACAAACAACATAACTAGTGTCGTGAGCAGCTACACGCTGCGGGGTTTACTAAGGCCGGGATGAGAGCACTTGTGGATTGAATGGTTCCATGTGCAGAGAGGATAATCTGTCGACTAACTAACTATTCAATGATAACATTTTAGAAACACTGAAAATGGTCACCAGCACCATAGTAAAGTGGAACGAGAGTGTCCACAAACTCTCTTAGTTAGTTAGTTATTCCTCTTGTGCCAAAGATGGCGCATATGGCAGAGGTCATAGCTTTCCACGCTTGTCGGTTCTTTGCCACTTGATGTAGGTCTTGAGTGCGACTGAGACCTATGGTTGAGCTCTCCCTTGTGATGGTTCTACGGAGAGTTTCTTTTGGTCTTCCCTGTTTTCTTTTACCCTCTGGTGACCATATGAAGGCTTGGTGGGGAAGTCTCTGTATGTCCATTCTGAGTACGTGACCGATGTAATTCCAGCGACGCATTCTATTAAAATCAGACACATATTTTTGTTTTGTTTCCTGTCTTATAGATGTATTGGACCTAAAGTCCGACCAGTGAACATTCAATAGCTTTCGGAGGCATCTATTCTCGAAAGCGACTAGTTTCTTATCGATTGATACTGATGATTTCCAACTCTCACAACCATAAGTTAGCACTGGGACAAACTCTCTACAAGTGATGAAAGACTGCGATGTGAAACATAAGAAAGGATTCCTGATGTTATACTGGAAGATGACTACTTATCAAACAATTGTCTCCCTTAAACCTTCTTTCTCCTCCTATTTGTGTGTGTCATGTCACATTTTGTTTTCAAATCGTGGTACAGTAAACATGTTTTCATATCTTTATTAAAAAAATATATTCAAATATATTTGTTTGTTACTGTATTTATAGAGTACTGTGTTTCGGACAACACATTTTTACAATGTAAGTTTGTGAACCTTGGAAACAATTAATTTAGTGTCTATTCTTTTCAATGGGAACATGTATCTTGAAGCTCGAACGATTTGGAATTCGATCGCCGCCGTCTCGGAATTGTTTATGTTCGAATTCCCAGGCACTGTATATATGATGTTAGAGGAGCAGTGAGGTTGGGGAGGAGAAGAAGACGACGAAGAAGAAGAAGAGGAAAAGTAGAAAGGGGATGAGGAGACGAAGGATGTAGAAGAGGAAGAGATATGTGAGAAGAAAATGAAGAAAGAATATAGATTTTTAAAAATATAGACAAACTGAATTATATTTAAACCGTTAAAAATAAATCCGACTTTTAACGGCACCTCCTAACAGGAAGTTACGCCATACGCGCACAAAATTAAATTCTAGTTTGGAAAGTGTTGATCGGAGAAGGATTGGGGAAAGGGTAGGACGTTTCTTTGATTGCGGACACTTGTATTTGTCAACAATGGATATAGAAGATAAAGTGGCTAACATATCGCTTCACGATGAACACAGAAATAGTCTACGCTCTGATAGTAAGTCACTTGTTGATACATAAACAAAAAATGATAAATTACATCTCGACTTGAACTTGACTGACTTACGACCAATGACTGACTTACTACTAGTAGAACTACCATCAGTCCGCACTTACGACGATCAAAGTGAGTTGTGATGAGGCGGACCTAACGGTCTTGTTGCTGCTGTGTGCACTCGCCCTAAGTTAGCATGTCATAAGAAAATAGTTAAAGTTAAAGCTTTGCTGAAATCGATTGTTTAGTTTGTGTTGGACTGAGGGTGACAGATGAGATGATATGATATCACTATCACAGGCTGTTAGCCACTCATTCTGAGATATAACGGTAGTATAACCTGTCCTATCTATACCACAACCATCCGTAAACTCAGGAATTGAATAAAATTATGCATTCTTTCCAATATGTCTTTAGTATGTATTGTCTGTGTGTGCTTGTATATAAGTATGCATGTTTCTCCCCCACCCCTTCCCTTGTTTGTTGTTTGTTTTAGTATCCAGAAGCCATGAGTTGTTAACCCTTAGGCTCGGTATTATGGATATCGCAACCTTTCGGCCTTGATTCCATTGTAAATACTGTAAATTTGGGAGAAAATGTGGCTTTCCTGCCTACCCCCGGGATTGAACCCGGACCACAAGGAGTTCGTCACCCGGTCTCCGCGCAATCCGGTTTAGCCAACTACACTAGAGAGCCGGGCACCCTTTTCCTTAAATTTAAATCCTGATACTAGTGATAGTATAACATAACTGGCTCTCCTCTGAACTTCTGCCCCCGCATTATGTTGGCCTGAAATATCCTTTCGGGGCTCAGTCCAATGAAAAATGCGCACTTTCTGCCAAGGAACAAATCGCGGCAAAACTAAGATGGGGGGCTAAACTAGGTGCCTGGCACTTACAAGCAAAGTAATTGGAGGAAGTTGCAGGGGATGTGGTAGCTGCTGATTGTGAGTCCCAGCCATCTAGTTTAGCCACTATCTGCGCAGCACGGGGGATACAGTCGGCGGTGAGGCATAGTCACAGAAACAGGTCAGCAAGTAACATATCGCTGAGACCCTGTTAGAGCATTTGTCCATTTTACACATTTGTTCCTCGGCAGAAAGTCCGACAATGGAAAGTGTCAACGGTCCCAAGTAACATATCGCTGAGACCCTGTTAGAGCATTTGTTTTGTTTTTCCGAGCCGATCCTAGATTTGCCGCGATTTGTTCGTCCGCAGAAAGTCCGACAAGTCCCCATTTTACACATTTGTTCCTCGGCAGAAAGTCCGACAATGGAAAGTGTCAACGGTCGCTATTATCGTCTGCTACTATCATCTGCAGTGTTGCGTCTCTTAGAATTGTCAGGTAATCAGAAACAATAAGAAACAGGTCCGCAAGTAACAATAAGCTAAGACCCTGTTAGAGCATTTGTTTCGTTATACGGAGCCGGCATATTTTTAATAGAACTGAGTCCCGAACGGATATTTCAGGCCGCCATAATGCGGGGGTAGAAGTTCGGAGGAGAGCCACATAACTTATACACAAGCGTAGGTACTTTAGCTGATTTTTTTTTCAAAATCATTTTATGTTTAAAAAATAAGCACAGCTGGATATGTAATTTAAAACTCTTTCAAACGGTACATCATTCATGTCTTTGTGTCAATTTTAAGCTGAGCTATTTGTGTGGAAAAATTGAATAAAGTAGACAAAAAATAAAAGTTCAGTAAAACACGCTGCCTAAAAGTCTTTGTGAAGTGTTTAAAACTGCTTTAACTAATGAAGTATTGAACAAAACCCCTTGAAACATTGTTTGGCTATCCTCCGAATAACAGTCCCAAATTATCGAGGCTGAAAATATACCCTAACAGGGCCTCAGTCACATGTAAATTGCGGACTTCCTACACTACCAAGAGTATCTCCCGAGCCGCTACGAGGGGCGCAGAGTGGAGCTAAACTAGATGACTGGGACTCACGAGCAGCAGCTACTGCATCTCCTGCAGCTTCCTTCATTTTATTTGCTCTCGAGTTTCAGCCATCTAGTTTAGCCCTGCGCCGCACGTAGCGGCGCAGGAGATACACTCAGCAGTGGCGGTAATGGCCGGAAGTCCGCAATTTACATGTGACTGGAGCCCTGTTAGGGTATATTTTCGGAGGATTGCCCATTGTTTTGGTGTTCAAAGTAATAACCAAATAATAATGAAATTTTTAGTTATTACATAGTATTAGCGAATTGTTATTGTAGTAATGCTGTCTGAGATAGTATCTCTGTAAACATGGGTGCAATAAACTGATGGTAATAGGAGTTGACAATAAAGGTGAAGTCTTGCTCCGGACCAGTCCAGAAATATGTGCACACAGTAAATGCATGTTTCAGTTGCCAGAGGTGCCATAGCCAACAGTCACCACCAGAAATGCAGTCTTTCATTGATGGAAGTAGTCGGGCACAATAAGTTGGTTACTATACACATGTAGAATTATTACATAAGATATTTCACCAGCTCCCACATAATCCGGCTACCGGCTATATTGAACACCACAACACAAACGCTGCACAAATGAAAAGCACTCCACAGAAAAAACACATCTCACAGGACTGCAACCAAGCACAAAAACTCAGTAGCTCAGGCATCAAAGCGTAGACTTTCGTCTGTGTGTGGAAACTGCATTAGCAAAGCGCTGTGGGAATCAAAAATAACTTCGAAGCTTAACTTTCTGCTAAGCCTTTCCTCCATTTTGGCCAGAAGAATAATTAACTTCAAGAGCTGGGATAGAAATTTAACATAATAATCCAGCGATACCAATTGCTGTAGAACTATCTCACCCACCCTCCCCCACCTCCAATACACCTCAGTAAATATATATATATGTAATATATATATATCGGTGATGTTTTTTCACAGGTAGTTCCAATATGACTCGGAATTCTTCAGCCGGTTCTGAATCTGATGTACAGAGTGAGTCTCGTGAAAAGTTTATGCAACTGTTGACGAAAGCTCGGCAACTGACAGAAGATGGCAACATTGCAGGTGCCGTACGACTGAATGAAGAAGCTTTGGCTATACATTTTAGCGACAAATTGCAGAGAAGAATTGCAAAGATGAAGGTAAACTGTTCATTTCTGTTTTCTTCTTGTTCGGCTGTTGTTTTATTAATAAACTACAGGACCATCTGGATAGGGACACAGCATTTATGAAAACATCCGTCCTGTCCTCTTTTTCTTCAGGTATACTGGCTGTGAACTCTGGGGGAAAGTTCAGGGTGTTCATCCACCTCCTGACTTGTCTTGCTCCAGAACCTGAGTGTTGCTTGCACATCCCTTTCGCAGATCTAGCTTATTTGCATACACTTGTGGTTCCTTCCCTCTCAGGCAGATGTACTCCGACTTCAAAGGATGTCCCAAGTTAGTCAACTCTTACAACATACTTGTTGGGGAAGCAGTGGTTCTGTTCTTGTTTCCGAACAATGTGGCCCCGGAATCCACTGGGAGAACCCAAATCCTGCGATATTGGTTCTCGGCTCAGCTCTGCTGTGTTAAAAATGTTTCGGTAGGGGCATTGATAAATTATGCTGGCCAGTTACTGTACAGGGGTTTCCAGTTAGTTAAGACCTATCCATCCCTCTTATTTTCACAGATCTGTCACATACCCCATATTTTTTTTTTTTAATTGTCAACTTCTTCTTTACATTCGGAGCCCTTCATTGCTGCAGATATCACCCACCTCCATTCATCTCTCTGACTGGTATTTTCTTTCCATATGTCCCAGTCATTTCAGTCTATTAGCTCTCATGATGCCAGTGATCAGTGGTTATTTAAACAGATCATGAATTTTGTTGTTGCTTCTCTCTCCATTTCCCGCTGTTTTGCATCTTTGGTGGGTCCAAACATTCATTGTTGGACTCTTTGAAAATTTGTAATGAGGCTTCATCTCTTTTAGCTGTGCTCCAAGTTTCAGAGCCAAATAAAACAACTTCACACTGAAGAACTTATTTCAATTTATAAATATTAGAATCGCAAAAAGAATTATATTTTTCTTCTTCGTGTTCACCGGCTGTAAACTCTGGCAAAAAGTTGTTGTTGTTTGTCCATCTCTGGACTTTAGTCTTGTTCCAGTACTCGAGTTTTGTGTGCACAATTGTTTTACAGATCTGGCTTATTTGTAAGCAGGCTGTTGGTTCCTTGCCTCTCAGGCAGTTGCACTCCAACCAATTTTGAAAGAAACCCCTAATTAGTGGACTTTTTTCAACAGGCATGTTAGGGAGGCAGGGAGACTGTTCTTGTCTCTCCCCCCCCCCCCACACACACACACAACCAATGGAGCCCGGAACCCACACGAAGAGGACTGTGTTCTAAAGTTAAAGTTTTTTTTGTTGTGTAAATGATATCATTGATCCCTTACGACTTTCACTCTGTTGTCCTAGAAGGAAACAAAAACAAAGCCAGTTGACATGTATTTCTGGACTTTCAGGAATACCTGAAACTTCCTTTTAAAAAAAAAAAAACGAGTTTTACCCAGGTTACCAGAAAACTGCTAGCAATTCGATTTATGGACCAAAACAATGTTATTCTTATATAATCAGAGGTGTAAACATGCATGCAGCAGAGAATTAGCTGACTTCTCTCTCTCTCTCTCTGTGTATTAAAACCATTTATACATTGACTTATACTTGATCTTCTAGCCAGGTCACTAGGGAACCATTGTGACTAATGGGAAATTATGACATCATTCCCAAGGAAACCACCTTTGACTGCTGTTTTAAGTAAATATAATCAATTCTGGTCCTCCTGAACGGATGCGCAGGCGCATATGATATCAGGGCTAGTCTTTATGCTTCTGTGAACATATCACCATAGCAAGTTGATAAAATGAGTTTCCAGGAGTATTTGGCCCAGCCGCACATTTCAGGATTTGAGACTTATTGTGGCATCAGAGTTGAATTTGTTCTATGGGCTACCAAATGGGAAATAATTGTAAACTACACCACACCTTGCCAAGCCCTTTTAAAGGGGAGCGCAGGAGAGAAAATAACTCCCTGACAGGAAAGTGCCAGAATTGTGTTCAGCTCACTTTTTTCTGCACAAATATGAAAGACACCAATTCTGGTTGATTTCAATTTTATTATTAAAAAACGCATCTAATTTAATTCCTTGCTAAAATTGTTTCTCAGGCATTTTTGGCAGACCAAGAGAAAGCTGATGGAGATGAGGATGGCGATCATGAGATGAAGTCTTTAGGCAATGGGTTTCTGCTGCACACCAAACTTCATGAGAAACTGTACAGGCATCAGAAGGAAGGGGTGCTGTGGATGTGGTCCTTATTCCTGCTTGGAAAAGGAGGGATTTTAGCAGACGACATGGGGTAAGTCTGGTCAGAGTTTGGTAGCAAAGGTTTGGTTTTGATTTTGGCTATGTTATGGAGAGCTGGCCATTTGGAAGGTAGTAGCAGACTACTGAACATAAAATTGTTCAGTAACCAGGAAGGCTAACCCGGTCTACAAATGCCTGCAGAAGTCGGATGTGTTGGCCCGAAAGGTGCAAATATCACATCTGTGCTGTGAATTGGCACAGTGCAGTTACCTCTTCGGATGAACGCAGAAGAAGAAGAAGAAATTGTCCAGTAAAACTACAAAGAGCTAAAAAAAAATGTGGTTTGTTTGCGACGTCCTGTAAAAAGATACATAGCTAACGATAAATTTTTACACACAAATCAAACTCAGACAAGGCAGCCATTTGAACACTCCCCATCCAGGGACACAATGATGAAGACAACAGACTCTGCAGCAATAGGTACAAGATGTTTAAGACTGGGGATCCAGAACTTTCCCCATTCGGAGAGGCACCACAGAATACAGAACCTATTCTACAGATTTATTCTCTACATGCAGTAGAGAGATCTTAGGTTTGGCCGTTGGCGTTCCAGTGGATATCAAGCTACGTGGAACATTAGAAGACATGTCGCACCACAGACTTCATGAAGGCCTGAGACCTTCTCATCTGAAAATTATTGACAGGGAGAGTGTAAAAAAGGAGTAGTAGTACATACAACAAGTGAAGATTATTTTTTTATGCCCGGTGTATTACTGACACAAAGAGAGTCCTGAAATCGCATGTTGAATAAGATCAAAATCACTCTGCACAAAAAATGCCTGTCTCCACATTTCTCAACATACTCTGTGAGTCCTGAAATCATATGTTGAATAAGATCAAAATCACTCCGCACAAAACATGCCTGTCTCCACATTTCTTAACATACTCTGTGAGTCCTGAAATCGTATGTTGAATAAGATCAAAATCACTCCGCACAAAACATGCCTGTCTCCACATTTCTCAACATACTCTGTGAGTCCTGAAATCGTATGTTAAATAAGATCAAAATCACTCCGCACAAAACATGCCTGTCTTCACATTTCTTAACATACTCTGTGAGTCCTGAAATCATATGTTGAATAAGATCAAAATCACTCCGCACAAAACATGCCTGTCTCCACATTTCTCAACATACTCTGTCAGTCCTGAAATCGTATGTTGAATAAGATCAAAATCACTCCGCACAAAAAATGCCTGTCTCCACATTTCTCCACATACTCTGTGAGTCCTGAAATCGTATGTTGAATAAGATCAAAATCACTCCGCACAAAACATGCCTGTCTCCACATTTCTCCACATACTCTGTGAGTCCTGAAATCGTATGTTGAATAAGATCAAAATCACTCCGCACAAAACATGCCTGTCTACACATTTCTCCACATACTCTGTGAGTCCTGAAATCAGAATTGTGACATTAAATATAAAGTGTTATCGAAGGAGCGGCTGAATGGTTAAAACGCTAGGCTGTAATATAGAAGACCCATATCCTTGAATCCACGGTAAGGTTGGGATTTTCTTCTGTCGGGGGCAAAAATAAAATCCTCATCTGAACAGTCCATGGTGACTGCACTAGCCAAGCGGCCCTAAATCCTCAGTCTCAAAGTCTCTGCCTACACCATAAAAGTGGTATAGTGAAGGCAGTGACTGGCAGTTATCTGTTATCTGGACAGGGGTAAAAGAAACTGGTCGGCAGCAACTAGTGACCCAGTGACATGTCTGTATATCATAGAACAATGGCAGTGTAACGTTTGTGTGTATTCTATTGTAACATAAATTTGTATTTTACCTATAACCCTTTCACCCTACAAACCCTTCATGAAAAAAAAAACATGCAACTTGGAATCGCTGAACAAACCCTTCATGAAAAAACTATGCAACTTGGAATCGCTGAACAAACCCTTCATGAAAAAAACCATGCAACTTGGAATCGCTGAACAACCCCTTCATGAAAAAAACTATGCAACTTGGAATCGCTGAACAACCCCTTCATGAAAAAAACCATGCAACTTGGAATCGCTGAACAACCCCTTCATGAAAAAAACTATGCAACTTGGAATTGCTGAAAAGATCCTTTAAAGAAAATGTATTACATGTCACTAATCATTTAAACAAATTAATTTATCAACACTTTTTAAATGTTATCCTGAAACATATAGTATCAGTAAACAGACAGTCAACAATTATTTTTTTACAGTCACTTGGACTTATTTGTAACATGTATATTTATATTGTATATGGATATTTGATTTGTAGGTTGGGTAAAACTATTCAAATTATTGGATTCCTGGCCGGCCTGTTTGACATGAACAAGATCAAATCAGTCATGATCGTGGTTCCTCTAAGCGTGTTGCCAAATTGGCTGAATGAATTCAACAAATGGTATGTTTAACAGTTTCTGGCTTTTATGAATTGATTGACTGTATTTCGTGTAGGCTACAATTTCTCTGTCAGTATCCTTTCATTTAACCTGGTTAACCCCAAATGTTTGTCCCAGGGCTCCATTGGATGGGGGGGGGGGGGGGGGGGGGTAAATGCACTGCCCCTCTAACAAGCATGCCTTAAAAGGCAACTTAGAAGTTTGCTAACAGTTGGATGTGTTGGGGCAAAAGAAGCAGAAGTCTCAGCCTACACACGTCAACAGACCTTTTGTGGGCAAATGCAGAAGAAGAATCTGGCCTGCTTCCTCATGAACTCTTTTGCCCCAAGAATACCCAAAAAAAAATCATGACCCCGTAAAAATTTCTGGAAAAAGAATCCTATTTAAAAATATTTAAAAAAAAACATGTTACTCAGGTCAGTATTAGATTTTATGTTTACATTTATTTATCTTCATTTTAAAACAAATTCTAAATACCTATAAAGGGGTAAGCAGTAAATACAAGCAGAGTGAAGATCTAAATGGAATTCATTCAATGGGGCATTGAAAATGCTGGGACCTCTATCACCAACGCTTGCAAAACTGTTTGACATAACTTGGCTTTCGAGAAGCCATTGGGGGCCATATAGGAACTATTCTAAATACTATTTTTGGCTACTGTATTCACAGCTTGACCTATTAAACATCGCACAGGTGCACGTAGGACCAAGAGGATTTAACGAACATTTTCAAGCACAGGTCACGGCAGGCATGACCATATATCGGAGTTTACAGGACTGTGTAACAGTCGGAAGTGGCTAAATTTAGCTTTCTCAGTGCAACAGAGTTAAAACTGCATCTTCCTCCTCTGCCTCTTGTTTCTTCTTTCTCCTCATTTTTTTTTTTCCGTTACAGAAAAACTGACCTAGTGTACGTGATAGCCACGTATTTGACTCCCAAATAAGAGATTCTACCATAGGTTTACTATTACCTTTTTATGTTTTCATGAACCAAGGACACCTGGAATCAATGTCATGCAGTTCCATGGAAGCTCTAAAAAGGAGAAAGAAAGAGCCCTGGCGAGGGTTCGAACCCGAGGCGGCGTTCTGATGACCACCTACGGCCTGGTGGTCACAACTAAGGAAACCTTCGCATTTCATCTTTGTTGTGTGTGGGTAAGTCATGGTGGGGTCGAGTCACGCAATTAGGACTTGAGTCTGACTTAAGTTACATAATTTGTGACCTTGGAGTTTTGTCGAGCGACTCAGAGCGACTCAGCATTAGTATGTATTTTGTTCTTTGCGGCCGGCCACTGTGAGGTAGGTTTGGTAATCAGTGTAACAGTTTAAACCGTCTTCATATGAAATGGCAGAATACATTCTGTCTTGATTTATCAAGCTTTCACATTCATCTTTTCTACTTTTTACATATAGTTTAGAGAGTTTTTCGCACTGCCATTTCCTGTTTTAAATCTTCATCTTTATTCTAGTAGTAAATTTTAAATAAATTGCAAGTGATTTGAAACGTGAAGTGTCTTGGTTTAGGACCAAACTTGGAAGCCTTCTCAGTGACTTGGTGGCATCTAACTCTTTAACTTGTATGGTATGGCGTGTCCCCGTGTGGGTTCCGGGGCCCTATTATAGGGAAAACAAGAATAGACCCACTGCCTACCCAAAAGCATGTTGTAAGAGTCGACTAATTGGGAAGAAGAAGAATGTATGGCGTCACATGGCACACCATTTGATTGGCTGCTGTCTTTGTATGTAATTTAGAATGGGTTCTGTCAACTTTTTCTCTTGTGACCTCATTCCTAAATTATGTCTCTTCTTGTCACTATTGCAGCCTTTCGGATACATCTTGTTTGCATGGTTACTAAATTGTGTATGTGTGTGGAGTGACCATGTATGGCACTGGTAGCATGGTGTAGGGATGAATAGGACATATATCACACACTAAATCTGTTTTTCTGTTATTCGTGTGTACAGATAAATTACACAGAAAGCTCTATACTTGCTAAATACCACAGTTGCTTGAATTATTCTGCATGTTATCCCTGCATTAGTTACTGTCCATCTGTTAAATTCTAGAGCTGTGTTCTCAGCAATTCAATACTCATTATCCCTAGTATGTTAGAACTGTGTTGTCTTCAATATGTTAGGACTATGTTATCTTCAGTGTGGCAGAACTATGTTATCTTCAGTGTGGCAGAACTATGTTATCTTTAGTATGCTAAAACTATGTTATCCTTAGTATGCTAAAACTACGTTATCCTTAGTATGGCTGAACTATGTTATCTTCAGTGTGGCAAAACTATGTTTTCTTCAGTGTGGCAGAACTATGTTATCTTCAGTGTGGCTGAACTATGTTATCTTCAGTGTGGCAGAACTATGTTATCTTCAGTGTGGCTGAACTATGTTATCTTTAGTGTGGCAGAACTATGTTATCTTTAGTGTGGCTGAACTATGTTATCTTTAGTGTGGCAGAACTATGTTATCTTTAGTATGCTAAAACTATGTTATCCTTAGTATGGCTGAACTATGTTATCTTCAGTGTGGCAGAACTATGTTATCTTTAGTATGCTAAAACTACGTTATCCTTAGTATGGCTGAACTATGTTATCTTCAGTGTGGCAGAACTATGTTATCTTTAGTGTGGCAGAACTATGTTATCTTTAGTGTGGCAGAACTATGTTATCTTTAGTATGCTAAAACTATGTTATCCTTAGTATGGCTGAACTATGTTATCTTCAGTGTGGCAGAACTATGTTATCTTTAGTATGCTAAAACTACGTTATCCTTAGTATGGCTGAACTATGTTATCTTCAGTGTGGCAGAACTATGTTATCTTCAGTGTGGCAAAACTATGTTTTCTTCAGTGTGGCAGAACTATGTTATCTTTAGTATGCTAAAACTATGTTATCCTTAGTGTGGCAGAACTATGTTATCTTTAGTATGCTAAAACTACATTATCCTTAGTATGGCAGGACTATGTTGTCTTCAGTATGTTAGAACTCAATAACCCCAGTATGGAAGAACTATGTTATCTTCAGTGTGGCAGGACTATGTTATCTTCAGTATGTTAGAACTCAATAACCCCAGTATGGAAGAACTATGTTATCTTCAGTGTGGCAGGACTATGTTATCTTCAGTATGTTAGAACTCAATAACCCCAGTATGGCTGAACTATGTTATCTTCAGTGTGGCAGGACTATGTTATCTTCAGTATGTTAGAACTCAATAACCCCAGTATGGAAGAACTATGTTATTCACAATATCTTTTTAAAATGGCAGTGAAGATTTTATAGAATATCAAAGAATCAAATGGTTTTGTCATCTGGTCAGAATGGAACAAAATCAGACAGAAGCTAGAACATAACACATGAGTACAGCAGGCTGGCTACAAGTCAAGAGGTTGACAATAAAAGAGATAGGAGGAGTGAAAGAGACACTACAGAAATGTGAGATGATGTGTACACAAACTACACAACTGTAGAGATAGGGAGAGTAAAAGAGACACTACAGAAATGTGAGATGATGTGTACACAAACTACACAACTATAGAGATAGGGGAAGTAAAGGAGACACTACAGAAATGTGAGATGACATTAATGCAAGTTACACAACTGGCAAAGTACAGGAAACTACATCTGGCTTGCAGCAGGAAGTGACCAAGGGATCTGGCTTGCAGCAGGAAGTGACCAGTAGATCTGGCTTGCAGCATGAAGTGACCAGTAGATCTGGCTTGCAGCATGAAGTGACCAGTAGATCTGGCTTGCAGCAGGAAGTGACCAGTAGATCTGGCTTGCAGCAGGAAGTGACCAGTAGATCTGGCTTGCAGCAGGAAGTGACCAGTAGATCTGGCTTGCAGCAGGAAGTGGCCAAGAGGATCTGGCTTGCAGTAGGAAGTGGCCAATGGAATCTGGCTTGCAGCATGAAGTGACCAATAGATCTGGCTTGCAGTAGGAAGTGACCAACAGATCTGGCTTGCAGTAGGAAGTGACCAATAGATCTGGCTCGCAGCAGGAAGTGACCAGTAGATCTGGCTTGCAGTAGGAAGTGACCAGTAGATCTGGCTTGCAGTAGGAAGTGACCAATAGATCTGGCTCGCAGCAGGAAGTGACCAGTAGATCTGGCTTGCAGTAGGAAGTGACCAATAGATCTGGCTTGCAGTAGAAAGTGACCAGTAGAACTGGCTCGCAGCAGGAAGTGACCAGTAGATCTGGCTCGCAGCAGGAAGTGACCAGTAGATCTGGCTCGCAGCAGGAAGTGACCAGTAGATCTGGCTTGCAGTAGGAAGTGACCAGTAGATCTGGCTTGCAGTAGGAAGTGACCAATAGATCTGGCTCGCAGCAGGAAGTGACCAGTAGATCTGGCTTGCAGTAGGAAGTGACCAATAGATCTGGCTTGCAGCAGGAAGTGACCAGTAGATCTGGCTTGCAGTAGGAAGTGACCAATAGATCTGGCTTGCAGTAGAAAGTGACCAGTAGATCTGGCTCGCAGTAAAAAGTGACCAGTAGATCTGGCTCGCAGCAGGAAGTGACCAGTAGATCTGGCTCGCAGCAGGAAGTGACCAGTAGATCTGGCTCGCAGCAGGAAGTGACCAGTAGATCTGGCTTGCAGCAGGAAGTGACCAGTAGATCTGGCTCGCAGCAGGAAGTGACCAGTAGATCTGGCTTGCAGCAGGAAGTGACCAGTAGATCTGGCTTGCAGCAGGAAGTGACCAGTAGATCTGGCTTGCAGCATGAAGTGACCAGTAGATCTGGCTTGCAGCAGGAAGTGACCAATAGATCTGGCTTGCAGCATGAAGTGACCAATAGATCTGGCTTGCAGCATGAAGTGACCAGTAGATCTGGCTTGCAGCAGGAAGTGACCAGTAGTTCTGGCTTGCAGCAGGAAGTGACCAATAGATCTGGCTTGCAGCAGGAAGTGACCAATAGATCTGGCTTGCAGCAGGAAGTGACCAATAGATCTGGCTTGCAGCATGAAGTGACCAGTAGATCTGGCTTGCAGCAGGAAGTGACCAGTAGATCTGGCTTGCAGCAGGAAGTGACCAGTAGATCTGGCTTGCAGCAGGAAGTGACCAATAGATCTGGCTTGCAGCATGAAGTGACCAGTAGATCTGGCTTGCAGCAGGAAGTGACCAGTAGATCTGGCTTGCAGCAGGAAGTGACCAATAGATCTGGCTTGCAGCAGGAAGTGACCAATAGATCTGGCTTGCAGCATGAAGTGACCAGTAGATCTGGCTTGCAGCAGGAAGTGACCAGTAGATCTGGCTTGCAGCAGGAAGTGACCAGTAGATCTGGCTTGCAGCATGAAGTGACCAGTAGATCTCGCTTGCAGCATGAAGTGACCAGTAGATCTGGCTTGCAGCAGGAAGTGACCAATAGATCTGGCTTGCAGCAGGAAGTGACCAGTAGATCTGGCTTGCAGCAGGAAGTGACCAGTAGATCTGGCTTGCAGCAGGAAGTGACCAGTAGATCTGGCTTGCAGCAGGAAGTGACCAGTAGATCTGGCTTGCAGCATGAAGTGGCCAAGAGGATCTGGCTTGCAGTAGGAAGTGGCCAAGAGGATCTGGCTTGCAGTAGGAAGTGGCCAAGAGGATCTGGCTTGCAGTAGGAAGTGGCCAATGGAATCTGGCTTGCAGCAGGAAGTGACCAATAGATCTGGCTTGCAGTAGGAAGTGACCAATAGATCTGGCTTGCAGTAGGAAGTGACCAGTAGATCTGGCTGACACCCACAGGAAAGGCAAGAATGACATATAATCAGACTGCTACTAGTACAATCGGAATTGTAACTGCCCCAGCTGCTGAAAATGGGGGCAGAGCACTTATGTGAATGTCATGTCCTGAATTCTGTGATGTTGGTTATTACCTCATTGATTTCAAGTTGGCAGGCATCTGTTCTCTTAAACTCTCAGGGGTTAAAGGGGAGGATAGTTAGAACATGATGTGAAGAATGTGTATTGTCTCTTGCAGGAGTTGTGGTCCTTGTTTGACTATGTACACCAGGGCTCTCTACTGGGCACAGTTAGAACATTCAAGATGGAGTTTGAGACACCAATCATTCGGGTGAGTCTTTTTGGTGACATCACCTCTGTGAAGTTACACATGTTGTCAGATTTCTAGTATAAGTAACGGTAAGTGAAGGACCCTTTCAGGCATGTTGGGCCTGTAGAGCTAGATCTATATTTTATAGACCAACCAGCACTCATTGGGTGATATGGTCAGCATCACGCCGGCTACCTTTACTTTCCAGAGTTTTACCTGATGTCCATTCAAGGCTGGGTCGAACTAAGGTAATTGATAAATAAACAAAAAATTGGCTTTACCAGGACCTAAATCCATGGCCTTTTGATCTGCAGGCAAGCCTTCAGCTGCGACAGCACAGTGGCTTCCTTTTCTAATAAAATAGTTGATATTATGAATATAGATACGAGGGTGTTTCTTAAACACGTGATAACCGTTACAATAGCTATGCCATTGTCTTGAAACCAGTCATTATAAATCACAGTTGCTAGGATATGCTTTAATTATACACACATTTCTAAATAGCTATAATACTAAGTTTAGTAAGTGTAATCAATCTCTGAAGGAAAGAGAATATGAAATCAGACGACCGCTAGAAATAAAGCCAGTCTTACAAGTCATCAAAGATCAACAAATGAAGTGGTTTGGACACCTAACCAGAATGCCCTGGTACTATCTACCACAGCGAGCCACACTAAAACGTTCCAATGGACAAAGAGCGAGCAGAAGACCTCGGAAAATATGGAGAGATGGCATTAAGAACAGCCTTACAGAAATGAACATCAATCTTAAAAGTGCTCTTGACAGGAGTCATCAACGAACGTTACACCCCCCACCCCCCAACCCTTTTCCCTTCCGACACTTCACTGAGGTACAAGGTGGAAGAGAAGAATACATCGGGGGGGGGGGGGGGGGGGGGTGTAATATGTTTAAAACTATTATTTGAGATAATATTCAGAAAGAAGACGATATAGATATTGACCTCATCATAATCATCATCATCATCATGCAGATGCCACAATCACAGGCAATCATCATTTAGTACCTTACACATTTAGCATCTTCAGGGGCCAGTTCTGTATTATTGTCTCACTTCGTCGTCAAGTGCCTTGCTGACTGGTGTCTGCAGTCATACCTCTCCACAGTCTGCAATCTTTAGAAGCATAAATCAGTTTGTGCGCTGATGCCCCTCCATTCCGTGACAATAGGCTATCAAGGATCATCTTGTATTGTCTTTACCTCTCTTTTTCCACTGAGCTTTCAAGCAGTTGCAACATGTTGCAGTTTCCTCTTTAATATGACCAAAGTTATGATGACTGTCTCTTTCTGTTTGTGATAAGTTGTCTTCGAGCTCACACTTCTTTAAAAACATCTGGGTTGTTCTTTTTGACTAAGAAATTCTTTAAAAAATGTATGTACACATTTTATGGAATCTCAGAAATTGTTTGGCTTGTTGACTGATTGTCCAGGATTTACAGCCATAATTGTCTTGGTATAATGAATCATTTTCTGGGAAGAAGACAGTTAACGAGTAAACATTGAGAGTATCCACCTCATTGTAATGTAATCCCACATGGCTTGGTCTCTGTCAGCAGAATAGCTTGACACCTGCAGAGAGTGTCACACAAAGCACAAACTCTGTAACTCCAGCTACGATCCCCATAGATCTATGTATTAACTGCACTTCTGAACTAATAACACATCTAGGGAAAACAAGATGATTACTCACCATGACCCTGGTTCCCGGGTCATCCCAGCCTCAAATGGGTACGAGGTCAAGGTGGGGTGTTGGTTGACCACAACACTGACCGATTGGTTTACAGAATGTAGGTCTAGAACTTTATTTTTCACACTGAAGCTGTAACAAGGATCCTTTGCTTCTACTTGGCCATGATAACACCCACACACGCACACACACAGTCCTTCCCATGCACCACTGCATAGACACTGCACTCGGGGCATGTGCTAAAGGTTTGTCTTGGGCATATATTATTATTATTATGTATTGTTTCTATAGTAAATAAATAAAGTAAATGAACCTATGTTTTAATGTATATGGTAAATTAAATAGTTAGTTTTTTTTTAATGAATATAAAATGTTGTCATTATAAAGCGAGTTACTTTGACCTATTTTTGGTGGCGTGGTGGCTAGACTTGAAGGTCTGTGGTTTGTATCTACATCGAGACAGATTCCTTTCAGAATTGATCCTGGCTGCTAGGTTGACCCAGCCTAAAATGGGTACGAGCTGGCCTAGGAAGTAAAGGCAGCCGGAATAGTGTTGACTTCATCACCAAATGAGTGCCGATTGGTCTAATAAAAATATGAGTCTGGTGTCATGTGCCCGATGCACCACTGGTATTAAAAAATTGATATAATTTATTTTATACTGTTTTATCAAACCTGAGGTACTTTCTGTTTCGACAGAAATGATTCCTCTGTTGCTTTCCTCGGCCTTTGACCTTCGGAAATAGAAGATGTAACATGGCTGATCTTTGTAATATTATTGTTTTTCAGGCTAGAGAAAGGGACGCCACTGCGGTGGAGAAGAAACTGGGACAGGAAATGGCACATACTTTGAAATCAATAATTCAACCTTACTTTCTGCGTCGAACCAAAGCAGAAGTGTCCGAGGCAAACAGTAACATCAATGATGATTCCAAGGATTTGAGGTAGACAAGTATTTTCAGTCTGAACACTTACAACTGTTTTTTTTTTTTTTTTTTTACACTTTAGGTTTTCTGTTTCACGTGCACGTTTGTTGTGTGCATTGTTCCAAATATTTTTGAAAAGGGTAGTTTGCCATTGCTTTTTTTCTTCTTCTGCCTTTTCACCCCCAACGAAGCATATGTCCCCAACCTACTCACGTTGAGTAGGTCAGATCTGGCTTGCGGACTGCCATGAAATAGCTCCGATTTACAGGGTGTTACAGACTGAACCCAAGATGTGTGCCTGCTGGGGTTTTACCAGTCAGTTTTACATTCATTAGTTTGCCATGTTAAACCTCATGATGGCCATGTTTGCCATGTTAAACCTCGTGATGGCCATGTTTGCCATGTTAAACCTCATGATGGCCATATTAAACCTCATGATGGTCATGTTTAACCTCATGATAGCCATGTTAAACCTCATGATGGTCATGTTTGCCATGTTAAATCTCATGATAGCCATGTTAAACCTAATGATGGCCACGTTTGCCATGTTAAACCTCATGATAGCCATGTTAAACTATGATGGCCATGTTTAACCTCATGATGACCATGTTTGTTATGTTAAACCTTATTATAGCCATGTTTGCCATGTTAAACCTCATGATGGCCATAACGTTACAAAGATTAACGAAAGTTACAAGCCTATGGTTAAACACCAGAGAAAAAAATCACAGGTGCATTTTTGAGAGCATGCTTCTTCCTTGTAGCAACATAAGTTTTTATAAGGAGTAGAAAATTATAGGGAAGAGAAAAAGTTGGTAAGAAACAACAATTAGTTTATGTTAGCTTTACAAAATCGATCACAATAAACAAACAAAGGACGTTGCGGCGATTAGCCTTCATCAGCACATAAAGGACAACACAGTACACATACACAAATAGGCTCTAACTATAAAGTGACTACATAGGACTCTAATGAATAAAATAAACGATACTCATCTAGTGTCCCTAACGAAAAAAACTTCGTTCAAATGAAACGACGGTCAGCCTAAATACCTCCAACGCGCAGGTAGGGGCAAAAAAAGGGGACGGGCTGGACGCCAACAGCGTACACTAGGTGTCTAAGGAGGGAGGGAGGGGTTGGCCTATAGGGCGTAACCGGGGTTGGGTTGTGGGGATGACCTTAGTCCATCCGCGTGGAATAAAAGTGGTGCCTGTGCTTGCAAACAAATATCGACAGACAGACAGCTAGATAGATAGATAGATAGATAGATAGATAGATAGATAGATAGATAGATATAGATAGATAGATAGATAGATAGATAGATAGATAGATAGATAGATAGATAGATAAATGCTTCTCTCTTACTGTCAGCTATCAAATAGAGACAGTAAGGATGCTTGTTATACAAAAGTAATCAGTCGAGCCCGAGAGTAAGACTGGTAACAACCAGAGTGTAAGGGAGCGATGAAGGGATTGATGGGGAAAACAGCATGTGTGGATGGTGGTGTGGATAGGCGAGTGTGTCCTGGATAGATGGATGGGTAGATGAATGGATGGAATGGTGGATGACTGTATTAGTTGATGAATGGAATGGTAGATGGATGGATGGGTGGGTAGATGAATGGATGGAATGATGGATGACTGTATTAGTGGATGAATGGTATCGTAGATGGATGGATTGATCGATCAAATATGAGATGAGGTAAAAACATGAGTCTAGTAACACAGTGCTTCTCTCTTACTGTCCGCTATAAAATAGAGACAGTAAGGGTGATTTTTATACAAAGTATTGGTAGAGCCCAAGTGTAAGGCTGGTAACAGCCAGAATGGAAGGAAGCGGTAAAAAATAGCATTAAGTGGATGGTGAGACAAATGGTGTGGGTAGATGAATGGGCGGGACGATGGTTACGTTCGTAGATGGATGCAATGGTAGATGGATGGATGGATCTGCCTATGTGTGTGCTGATAAATTGAAATAGGTTTGTTGCTTTGTTATAGTATCCAGAAGCCATGAGTTGTTAATCCTTAGGCTCGGTATTATGGATATCGCAACCCTTCGGCCTTGATTCCATTTTAAATACCGTAAGGCTAGGAGAAATGTGGCTTTTATGCCTACTCCCGGACCACATGGAGTTCGTCACCCGCTCCACCGCGCAATCCGGTTTAGCCAACTACGCTAGAGAGCCGGGCATTTAAACAGGTCCAAACAAGGGTCTCATACTGTGATGCTTCTCTCTTACTGTCATCAAGCAAGTAAAGACAGTAAGGGTGTGATTGTTTTTTAAAAGATCAATCGAGCCCACGCGCAACAACATCGTGTTGCCTGAGATACCTGCTGAGTAGGTAGCCGAGATTAGTGATGGATTGTACATCGGGTATGTGTGCAAAGAAACGTGGGGAGCGATGAATGGATGGACACATCGAATAATAGGCTGAGTTGATTGGGATGAATGAATGATATGATATATGAGTGGACGAGAGGATGGATGGGTAGATGGAAGGATATATAGATGGATGGGTCTGAATGTATGTTAATCTGACATCGCGTGAACCAGGGTCTAGTGATGCAGTGCTTCTATCTGACTGTCAGATGTCACACAGAGACAGTAAGGATGACTGTTATACCCAATATCTGTCGAGTCAAACATATGGATTTGAGTCAGACTATCTCCATGGACAAAGAAGAAAAGGAATGCTTACATTCTAAAAGATTTGAACATCAAGGAAGATAGCGGAAGGCATGGTACCAGAAAAGAGGGACAGGAGCCGACCAACACGAAGATGAGCAAGCATAAGGTGTGAGAGCTGGCAAGGGACAGTTTTTTTTTTCAGGCAGACCGTGATGAGACCAACATTCTGCAAAGGACTTGCTACATGATGAGGATGGCCTTGGGGGGGGGGGGGACTATGATGAAGGGTACAATATCTGGAAAACAAGGCAGAGGGCACCCTCAGCAAAGGTGGATGCATTGGCAGTGAATGCACTTTTTCATTATCCTGGAACACTATGTATCGTTTGGTCACCAGTTTCTGTTGACTGTCTGATCAGCTCTCTCCACCTTCTGCGGTCAGTTGCGATGGACTTCATGGCTGCATGCCTGAGGCCTGACCAGTCAGTCTGGTTCTATAATCAGGTCTTTCTTGGTCTGCCTCTTCTCCTCTTTCCCTCTACTGAGCCCTGCAGTATTGTTTTTGAGAAGCCGTTAGATCTTATTACAAGACCATACCATTGCATTTTTTGTCCTTTCACTGTAGTTAAAATAGGTTCATAGTTGCCAATATGAAAGCACATAGGTCTAGAGCAGTGATTCCTAAATTGTGCGCCCCAGCGCCGTGACCTCTTCACAGGGGCACCACAAAATATTGTAAAAGCTTCATTATTAATTTAACCAAGACATGAATAGTCATTCAGATTAAAGACTGGGCACAATAGATTTCGTCAACTTATGTTCAAAGTTTTCTGTGTAGGAAATACGGAGACGTGTCCCTGCAGCGTGGCACCCGAAAATGCTGAGCATGTGCTCCAACACTGTTAACTGTATGCTGACAACAGAGACGCAATCTGGCCTGTTTCAACCACAATGAAGACAAAACTGTATGGTACCCTAGAGGATATGGATTGCACGATAGCTTTCATAAAGGCTACCGACCTCCTAAGTTTTCTGACAGATGGATCGAAGAAGAAGAAGATACTTTTACTTGGGTTTGTGCACCGTGGGAAAATGTTAATTAAAAAAGGCGCTGCAGCCAAGAAAAGTTTGGGAAAAACTGGTCTAGAGAATTGGCTATAAATAAAGAGACTGGTACTTATCATGAACCCGCCAGCACGGCGAGAGTTCCTTCCCTTCCCATTCATGCCCTCGCCATGTCCACGGCCTGTCCTATATTACGGAGGTGTCATGTATTCTTTATTTTGAACTTATTACCGCTCACTTGCATGATTATTTCCACATTGTGCTAAATGCCCGAACATTCGGGAGTGTGAAAACTACAATGTTTTTTATTCCTATGTTCTTTGCCAGTGGCTTCTTTTTTTTTCTTCTGGGGAGGGGGGGGGGGTGGCCACCGCCAAGGAATGTAGAAATGCAAAAACATCCCAATTGCGATGCGATACAAACTGTTGTGCATTCTATACTCGCCCCTGCAGTATGTATTTTTTTACTTGTGCACAGCCGCCTCAAATAAACTCATGACAACACAACCTCCCACAATCATTATATATGGTGAGCGAGCGAACGCCGAACAAAACCATCTCGTAAAACCCTACGACATAGGGGAGACCATGCCACCAACCAAGGCATGAATGGGAAGGGAAGGAACTCTCTCATCATGTGGACGAGTTCATGATAAGTTCCGTTTTCTGCGGCGAGAGCAACATTGTAAAGATCCTGCTGATTGGTGATGAGTTTGCCTTTTCTTTGTGAGTGTCGACGCCCCCTACCAATGTTGAAGTCAGCACAAAATGATCCGCTACCAGATCGTCTGTAGCAGAATCAAACCCTGTATGACAGAATTACGGACCGCACTCCAAACCACTAAACCATAGTTGCAAATAGAAAACACCAGTTAGAAACAGAACCTCTTATTATGGAAAAATGTGTATTCTTTTATTCATTGGATAGTACTAATCACATAAGTATGGTACTTATCACATAAGTATGGTACTAACCACATAAGTATGGTACTTATCACATAAGTATGGTACTAACCACATAAGTATGGTACTTATCACATAAGTATGGCATGATCATGGTCAAGGCACAGTGTAGCACGAGAGGATTTCAGTTGAACACTCCTTACAGTTGAACACTACTTACAGTTAAACACTCCTTACAGTTGAACACTACTTACAGTTGAACACTCCTTACAGTTGAACACTCCTTACAGTTGAACACTCCTTACAGTTGAACACTCCTTACAGTTGAACACTCCTTACAGTTGAACACTCCTTACAGTTACACACTCCTTACATAAGGTCACAAATAGTCATTCTTTCCTCCCCTTGTTTGAAGGATGCCCACGATGACTCGCAAAAACGACCTTGTTGTTTGGTTACATCTGACCGAGACCCAGATACAGATCTACCAGGACCTGTAGCTGCAGTGTCATATCTGAAGTTTTCCAAGTTACCAAACAACATTTGTACCGGTTTCTGCTGTACTGTAGCTCAGTCATATCTGACCAAGTTACCAAACAACATTTGTACCGGTTTCTGCTGTACTGTAGCTCAGTCATATCTGACCAAGTTAACAAACAACAATTGTACCAGTTTTCTTCTGTATTATAGCTCAGTCATATCTGCCCACATTACCAAACAACATTTGTACCGGTTTCTGCTGTACTGTAGCTCAGTCATATCTGACCAAGTTAACAAACAACAATTGTACCAGTTTTCTTCTGTATTATAACTCAGTCATATCTGCCCACATTACCAAACAACATTTGTACTGGTTTTTGCTGTACTGTAACTCAGTCATATCTGACCACGTTACCAAACAACATTTGTACCCATTTCTGCTGTATTGTAACTCAGTCATATCTGCCCACATTACCAAACAACATTTGTACTGGTTTCTGCTGTACTGTAGCCCAGTCATATCTGCCCACATTACCAAACAACATTTGTACTGGTTTCTGCTGTATTGTAGCCCAGTCATATCTGCCCACATTACCAAACAACATTTGTACTGGTTTCTGCTGTACTGTAGCCCAGTCATATCTGCCCACATTACCAAACAACATTTGTACTGGTTTCTGCTGTACTGTAGCCCAGTCATATCTGACCAAGTTACCAAACAACATTTGTACTGGTTTCTGCTGTACTGTAGCCCAGTCATATCTGACCAAGTTACCAAACAACATTTGTACCAGTTTATGCTGTACTGTAGCTCAGTCATATCTGCCCACATTAATTAACAGACAGGTTTGAGCTCATATGTTACCAGGTTTTTTTCCAAATCATACTAAAACATTACTACAGATTGGCTTTTCCTTTGCTTCTTTATGATATTTAAATTTTTTTTTTTAAGTTTTACTTTTGATTATAACTGTTTTCTGTAAAATTTATGGTTAATGATAACTTTATTGTCTGTAAATGTTGCTATTGATAAGTATATTTTCTGTAATTTTTACTGTCAGTTTTTGTTGTTATAACATTTACTGTTGATATCTTTGTCTTTGGTAATTGTTAATGTTGCTTCCCCCCTTAATTTTACTTAATAACTTGAGAAAACAAATTAATTTTTTTAAACTGTTGATGATGTTGAATTGCTGTTGTTACTGTATGCTGTTGTTACTTGTTCTGTTTTCTTTGCTGTTATTACTGTATGCTGTTGTTACTTGTTCTGTTTTCTTTGCTGTTATTACTGTATGCTATTGTTACTGTATGCTGTTTTGCGAGTCCGACTCGTGAGCCAGCATACCGCGATCGAAACCCACTGCAGGCTGCGTGGATATTTGTCGTGGTATGGGACGTCGCAAGTCGACCCAGCCTAAAATGGGTACCAGGATGGGCTGTCCTGGGAAAGTAAAGACAGCCGGCGTAATGCTGACCACATTACCCACAGAGTGCTGATGGTCTGCAAAAATATGGGATGCTCTGCCCATATGCCCGATGCGCCGAAAGGCGTGAAAAGGGAACTTTACTTTTTTTTTTACTTTACTGTATGCTGTTGTTACTGTATGCTGTTGTTACTGTATGCTGTTGTTACTGTATGCTGTTGTTACTGTATGCTGTTGTTACTTTTTCTGTTTTCTTTGCTTGCAGTTGCTGATGACCAAGAAATCTCCACTTGTGGCCTTGACGGTGTTGAAAAAGATCTGCGATCATCCTCGACTGTTGAGCACCAGAGCCTGTCTGCAGCTGGGACTCGACGGAGACAAGTGGGTGTTTTACGATGAATATTTTCTTTTCTTCCATCAAATACCTGTTGCCATTTACTGTCGTCAGTTAAATATGTATCATCCTCCATCAAATACCTGTAACTGTTTGTCATTGTCAGTCAAATACGTGTCACCGTTTATCATCATCATTCGAATACCTGTCACCGTTTATCATCATCAGTCGAATACCCATCACTGATTATTATTAACAGTTAAATACCTTGCACCATTTATCATCAGTGATTGTATCTGTATTTCATTTTTTTCTGTCAGCTCCAATGAAGAAGACCTTGAGTTATAGATAGACAGTTTTGTTTGTTCTTTCAGCTTCAATGAAGAATACCTGGATATATAGATAGTTTCGTTTGTTCTTTCTGCTTCAGTGAGGAAGACCTGGAATTATAGACAGACAGTTTCATTTGTTCTTCAATGAAGAATACCTGGGGTTATAGATAAACGGTTTCGTTTGTTCTTTCAGTTTCAATGAAGAATACCTGGGGTTATAGATAAACGGTTTTGTTTGTTCTTTCAGCTTCAATGAAGAATACCTGGAGTTATTGATAGTTTCGTTTGTTCTTTCAGCTTCAGTGAAGAATACCTGGAATTATAGATAGACAGTTTCGTTTGTTCTTTCAGCTTCAGTGAAGAATACCTGGGGTTATAGACCGACAGTTTTGTTTGTTCTTTCAGCTTCAATGAAGATCACCTGAGGTTATAGATAGACAGTTTTATTTGTTCTTTCAGCTTCAATGAAGAATACCTGGGGTTATAGATAGATAGTTTTATTTGTTCTTTCAGCTTCAATGAAGAATACCTGGGGTTATAGATAGACAGTTTTATTTGTTCTTTCAGCTTCAATGAAGAATACCTGGGGTTATAGATAGACAGTTTTATTTGTTCTTTCAGCTTCAATGAAGAATACCTGGGGTTATAGATAGACAGTTTTGTTTGTTCTTTCAGCTTCAATGAAGAATACCTGGGGTTAAAGACCGACAGTTTTGTTTGTTCTTTCAGCTTCAATGAAGAATACCTGGGGTTAAAGACCGACAGTTTTGTTTGTTCTTTCAGCTTCAATGAAGAATACCTGGGGTTAAAGACCGACAGTTTTGTTTGTTCTTTCAGCTTCAATGAAGAATACCTGGGGTTATAGATAGACAGTTTTGTTTGTTCTTTCAGCTTCAATGAAGAATACCTGGGGTTAAAGACCGACAGTTTTGTTTGTTCTTTCAGCTTCAATGAAGAATACCTGGGGTTATAGATAGACAGTTTTGTTTGTTCTTTCAGCTTCAATGAAGAATACCTGGGGTTAAAGACCGACAGTTTTGTTTGTTCTTTCAGCTTCAATGAAGAATACCTGGGGTTATAGATAGACAGTTTTGTTTGTTCTTTCAGCTTCAATGAAGAATACCTGGGGTTAAGAATAGCTTCAATGAAGAATACCTGGGGTTAAGATAGACCGTTTTGTTTTGTTCAGCTTTACCTGGGGTTAAAGACCGACAGTTTTATTTTTTCTTTCAGCTTCAATGAAGAATACCTGGGGTTATAGATAAGAGTTTTATTTGTTCTTTCAGCTTCAATGAAGAACACCTGAGGTTATAGATAGAGTTTTATTTGTTCTTTCAGCTTCAATGAAGAATACCTGGGGTTAAAGACCGACAGTTTTGTTTGTTCTTTCAGCTTCAATGAAGAATACCTGGGGTTAAAGACCGACAGTTTTATTTGTTCTTTCAGCTTCAATGAAGAATACCTGGGGTTATAGAGTTTTATTTGTTCTTTCAGCTTCAATGAAGAACACCTGAGGTTATAGATAGAGTTTTATTTGTTCTTTCAGCTTCAATGAAGAATACCTGAGGTTATAGATAGAGTTTTATTTGTTCTTTCAGCTTCAATGAAGAATACCTGGGGTTAAAGACCGACAGTTTTGTTTGTTCTTTCAGCTTCAGTGAAGAATACCTGGGGTTATAGACCGACAGTTTTGTTTGTTCTTTCAGCTTCAGTGAAGAATACCTGGGGTTAAAGATAGACAGTTTTGTTTGTTCTTTCAGCTTCAATGAAGAATACCTGGGGTTATAGACCGACAGTTTTGTTTGTTCTTTCAGCTTCAGTGAAGAATACCTGGGGTTAAAGATAGACAGTTTTATTTGTTCTTTCAGCTTCAATGAAGAATACCTGGGGTTATAGACCGACAGTTTTGTTTGTTCTTTCAGCTTCAGTGAAGAATACCTGGGGTTAAAGATAGACAGTTTTGTTTGTTCTTTCAGCTTCAATGAAGAATACCTGGGGTTAAAGACCGACAGTTTTGTTTGTTCTTTCAGCTTCAATGAAGAATACCTTGGGTTATAGACCGACAGTTTTGTTTGTTCTTTCAGCTTCAGTGAAGAATACCTGAGGTTATAGACCGACAGTTTTGTTTGTTCTTTCAGCTTCAGTGAAGAATACCTGGGGTTATAGATAGAGTTTTATTTGTTCTTTCAGCTTCAATGAAGAATACCTGGGGTTATAGATAGACAGTTTTGTTTGTTCTTTCAGCTTCAATGAAGAATACCTGGGGTTAAAGACCGACAGTTTCGTTTGTTCTTTCAGCTTCAATAAAGAATACCTGGGGTTAAAGACCGACAGTTTTGTTTGTTCTTTCAGCTTCAATGAGGAATACCTGAGGTTAAAGATAGACAGTTTTGTTTGTTCTTTCAGCTTCAATGAAGAATACCTGAGGTTATAGATAGACAGTTTTGTTTGTTCTTTCAGCTTCAATGAAGAATACCTGGGGTTAAAGACTGACAGTTTTGTTTGTTCTTTCAGCTTCAATGAAGAATACCTGGGGTTATAGATAGACAGTTTTTTTTGTTCTTTCAGCTTCAATGAGGAATACCTAGGGTTATAGATAGTTTCATTTGTTCTTTCAGCTCCAATGAAGAATACCTGGGGTTATAGACAGTTTTATTTGTTCTTTCAGCTTCAGTGAAGAATACCTGGGGTTAAAGATAGACAGTTTTATTTGTTCTTTCAGCTTCAGTGAAGAATACCTGGGGTTAAAGATAGACAGTTTTATTTGTTCTTTCAGCTTCAGTGAAGAATACCTGGGGTTATAGATAGACAGTTTTGTTTGTTCTTTCAGCTTCAGTGAAGAATACCTGGGGTTAAAGACCGACAGTTTTGTTTGTTCTTTCAGCTTCAATGAAGAATACCTAGGGTTATAGATAGTTTTATTTGTTCTTTCAGCTTCAGTGAAGAATACCTAGGGTTATAGACAGTTTTATTTGTTCTTTCAGCTTCAGTGAAGAATACCTGGGGTTAAAGATAGACAGTTTTATTTGTTCTTTCAGCTTCAGTGAAGAATACCTGGGGTTAAAGACCGACAGTTTTATTTGTTCTTTCAGCTTCAATGAAGAATACCTGGGGTTATAGATAGACAGTTTTATTTGTTCTTTCAGCTTCAGTGAAGAATACCTGGGGTTAAAGATAGACAGTTTTGTTTGTTCTTTCAGCTTCAATGAAGAATACCTGAGGTTATAGATAGACAGTTTTGTTTGTTCTTTCAGCTTCAATGAAGAATACCTGGGGTTAAAGACCGACAGTTTTGTTTGTTCTTTCAGCTTCAGTGAGGAAGACCTTGAGCAGCCAGAAGCTTATGAAAGTGCAGCCACACAGATAGACAAAATCTCTGATGATGTGTTGATGCAGGAGTCTGGCAAGCTACAGGTCCTGGTCAGTCTGGTCGACTCCTTCAAGATGGGCGGTCACAGGACCCTGATATTCTCACAGTCCCGCAAACTTTTAGATATCATACAGAAAGTGATCACAAACAAGGTAATTCGGTGTTCTATGTCATTCAGTTATCATAGGCACTTAGTAATTCCTAATTTAAAAAAAAAAAAGAAAAACAGCAAGGTTTTGGTTCTTGTGGTTGTGAATGATCACCAGAATTTGGGAAAACCTTCACATTTTCCACCCATGGGCAGAAAGCTCAAAATAGGCCAAAGGTCACACCCAGACTAGGATTTTTGGACTATCATAAGCCATACAGAGTTTTAAGAGCTGACATCATAGCACTCGGACCGTTCCCATAAGTGCTGCATCCCTATCTTCAGCAGCCAGCGGAGAGTTCTGTCATGGTGCTGTCATGTTCCAAAGTGTGGAATACTCTATAGCCAGAAAAGATTAGAATTCTGTCTGAAACAGGCAATAATCAGAAAAACCCACAGACAACCATGTCCCTGCCTATTTTTGAAAAAAAAACAAAAAGTTGCCGGTGTTTAACCTGCTTCAGGCAGTGTACACATAGCCCCAACAGTTAGCCTGTTATATAAGACCTGCCTGTACCACCTTTGGGATGTAGGCAAGAGGTCTCTGAGTGAGGATTTATGACCTATTTGGGATGTAGGCAAGAGGTCTCTGAGTGAGAATTTATGGGTTATTTGTGATGTAGGCAAGAGGTCTTTTAAGTCTGGGGATTTATGGGTTTTTTGTGATGTAGGCAAGAGGTCTTTAAGTCTGGGGATTTATGGGTTTTTTGTGATGTAGGCAAGAGGTCTTTGAGTCTGGGGATTTATGGGTTATTTGAGATGTAGGCAAGAGATATTTGCGCCTAAGGATTTATGGCTTAGTTGTGATATAGGCAAGAGATCTTTTGAGTCTGGGGATGTAAGGTAACAAAGCTAGTGCAGTTGCCAGGAACTGTGCGGGCTGGGATTTTATGTTTACCTTGGCAGGAAATGTAGCTGCTGAGGTTTACCTACAGGGCGTAATGCCTGACATTTAAGGGATGCACCCTGTTAGCAACTTTTTATGGGATGAACTGAACACTGCAGACTGGGGGTGAAATCATTGTAGATAGAGAGAAATGAAAGCTGGTCACAGTGACATCAGAGATCATCAAACTTGTCAAAGATAAACACACAAAATAAACAGTTTCTGGACAAATTTTAAAACACTGGAAAATAAAGTATTAATTCGACTAATTTTAATGTTTTTTTTTTTTTTTTTACAGGGTCATAAAACTGCTCGTCTTGATGGCACAGTGACACACTTGGCAGATCGGGATAAAATTGTGAAGAAATTTCAAAGTGATAGCTCTATTTCTGTGTTCCTATTGACTGTTCAGGTATGTCACAGTTTAAAACAGTGTTCCTCATTCTTATCATTATTACACCCACAGCCCACCAAAACAGGGGAAATGGTTTTTGTGACTCACTAGTTAAAGAACACTGATATATTGATGTGCGTGTTGACAAGGATGGACAGACGACGGCGGCACCTTTGCTGAAAGTTTATGCTTTTTGAAGACAGTTTCATAAGTTTGGCACACCAGGGTCGATCCAGCTGTGGATCATTTGGCAGCAGACCGCTTTGAGTTGAATCTGACAATGGTTTGAGCATCAGACTACTCATACAGACAGCAGTGGCAAACTACTGAACGTAAAGCAGCACACTGTTTTGTGGTTTACAGCTAGTCTGCAGTATTTGCCTTTTGCTCCAACACAACCAGTTTGAGCAAAACCCTAATTAGTCCCCTTCTACGACATGCTGGTTAGAGGATCAGTTCTCTCCCCCCCCTCCTCGTCGAATTGAGGTCCCAGAACCCCACGTGGGCAAAACAGTTTTATTTGTTATGATTTTCAGTTGCCAGGAGATCTTCGACAATGTTTGCAAAATAGAAATCTCTCTCTCTCTCTCTCTCTCTCTCTCTCTCTCTCTCTCTCTCTCTCTCTCTCTCTCTCTAATTCTCCCTCCCTCTCTCTCTAATTCTCCCTCCCTCCCTCTCTTTTCTTTTTTTTTTTTTTTTTTTGTTTTTTTTTTGTTGTTTTTTTTTTTTTTTTGTTTTTTTGTTATCCCATTTGTATCATTGTCTGCCTTTTACTTGTGTTTCCTTACCTTTTCCCGTCAGTGTGCAGATTACAGAACATATTTTCGGTTATGAAAGATGAATTGAAAGGGTTGAGAATAAGATAAGCGCGCATGCCCAGTTTGTGGCCTCTAATAAATAACGTTTGACCTTGTTAACTCTTTCCTCATCTGTATTGACTTATAGCCTGCTTTCCAAATTCATCATTAGACCAGCTGTGTAAAATATCTCTAGACTATATGGCCATCAGCAGGTAATAGGTGCCCCCTCCCCCCTCATTGCAGGGTAAGTTTGTTTAGACAAAGATAATCGGAATAAAACCATTCACACAAAATTGTATAAGGCAAGGCGAAACCACCACTGGTATATCTTGCCTTTACGCGAATTATATTGCAGGTTGTGGAGAGGCATGATCGCCCACGCCAGCTGGCATGTTATGTGAGAAGGCAGTCTGCTTTCCAAATTTATCGTGAATTTATAAAAGTTGAAGTGATTGTTTAAGGTCATATGTCTGTTCCTGTGCAGGTTGATAGTAAACGTTAAATAATTTGTTCTTGTGTTGCCAGGTTGGAGGTGTGGGTCTGACCATCACGTCTGCAGATCGAGTCATTATCTGTAAGTGGGTTCTTGTTGACCTCAGCTTAACTGTTTCGATCTTTCTTTCCTGCAGTAATGTAAAAACACTGCTCCTAAAGGTGCCTACAAAATAGTGGTGATCATTTAGTAATAATGGTTTAGTGATCTTGGGAAAAGAGTGACTTAAAAAGTAAAGAAATGTATGGACTTTTATTGTCTTATAGACAGAATGGTGGCGAATTGATGTATGACAAGCTAGATGTTGTGAGGACCTTCTGGGAGCAAGTGAATAGTGAGGAAGCACAAATAGATTGTTATGGTCTGAAGAGAATGGCGCTAATGGAGTTAACAGGGGATCTGGCCGACGCTCAACACTCAAGGGAAGGACGAGATGGATATACAGTCTGACATTTACTGGTGCCATCGGAATTGGCACTCTTTGTTTGCTTTTGAAGATAGGGACAGAGCGCTTATGGGGGTGTTTGAGTGCTATGATGTCGATTATTAATTCAACAAAGACAAAACTTCTTGATAAATGAAATTTGTCTAGTCACATAACAGCCGTTTATAATTAGCAAACTAAATGGCAGAAAAGAAAGACAGGCACATTTTAGATAGCTCGGGCACATGGTATATGTCAGGAGTAATTTTCTCCTTCGTATCTAATTTTCATGAACTATTTTGAATGAGTAGTTGAAGAATAATGTATAAGTGAACAGATTGAGTGTCAAGTTGGGGTAAGCACAAACTACGATGCAAGCACTAATTTTGCCTAGATGGCCAAAAGTCAGAAAAAATGGGCAATGAGAGATATGCAAGAGAACATTCTGGAAGGAAAGGAAGAGGCTGTTCCAAGACATAAGAAACTGAGATAGTCAGCTCTTTTTTGATCTGGTTTTGTTGAAGGTCGAAGTGCATGAATTGAATGAATCCTGAATCGAGTGCATGATTGCTTTAACTTACCAGCCAGGAGAAACCTGGCTAATCAATCTATGATGACACGGAATTGAGGAATGAAAGGCTGCTGTGACCTTTTCGTTTCTGATGCCGTTTTGTGAGTTTGTGAAGTGCCAGCGTGAGATGCAGTGACAGTGTTAATCCTTATGTTGATGTAAGTACTAGGGCTGTACCGAATAGTGATTTTCAGTATTCGGCCGAATACGAATAGTGGGACCAACTATTCGGCCGAATACGAATAGTGTATCCTCATCATCAGGTGACTTGCGATCATGCCTCTCTTCAATCTGCTATCTTCTGCAATATGTATCAATTCGTGTACTGACACACCTCCATGCCTTGCAAGAAGACTGTCAAGAATCTTCTATCGTTGTCTTCCTCTATCCCTCCTTCAACAGATCTTTCCAGTGGTCACCAAATGTTCCATTTTCCCTCTTCTCATAACATGGCTGAAAAATGACGACTATCTCCTTTTGATGTCTGTGATTAGTTGTCTTCGGTCTCTCGCCTCTTTCGAAACCATCGTTCGCTCGGCCGTTCGTTCGATGTAATTTAAATGCACCTTCATATTCCCGTTAGCAATATCTTCAAATTTGATTTGGGCGAAGACACCCTGAAAAAAAAAAAGAAATGCATGATCTCTCTCTTTCTCCCTCTTTCTCTCTCACACACACACACACACACTCACACACACATGTGTGCACACACACATACACACTGCGGTTGGCATTTTATGCAGTTTGTACCACGCAACTGGGTCTCAGTTTTCCCCGCTACGACAGATTAAGGCAACAGAAACTATTGTGTTAATGAGAGAGTTATTTCAGCCCATCACAGTGTATGCAGAAATGGGAGTAAGGTAACCACTATTCATATTCGGCCCGACCGCAACTATTCGGCCGAATACTGAATAGTTATTACGTCCACTATTCGGCCCAAAGCGAATACGAAGTGAATATTCGGTACAGCCCTAGTAAGTACCAACATGCTTGTGAATACAGCTACGACCCCAGACATTTTACTTCTGGTGTCATTTTGACTGGGAGGACATCGCTGCAGAATAAACTGAATCATTATCAGCCGTTTGATGTTTCCTCAGCGGGTCTTCCTGTTCAAGTTTGCTGTGTTACAGTATTCAAGAATGTGTCAGTGTAGACTGCATGTGATTAGAGCCAGAGTCATTACAGTGTATCACGACAAGATTGCTGGTAGTAGGCCCTTGTGATTGCAAGAGATTGCTAATCGTGATTGCATACTGTATAGGCTGCATTTGATAACTGATTGCCTACATTATGAGGATTATTATTGATGATGATGAAACCTTTTTTTTTTTCTCTGCCTTTGTCTTCAAACAGGTGGTTGGAATATTGTGTTATGGCTCATAGTTGGGCTGCAATATCTGCAGCTTTAATCCCAGGACATCCCATTTCAGCAGACCCTATATATTCACCTTTTACAACATGCTTGTCTTGGGGCAATGATCTGTTCTTTTCCCCCTTTAAATTTGGGTCTGTACCTCTCTGAATGCTGGACATAAACTATGAAAAGTGTTTCTTCAAATTACTGTATAGAACAAAGTCGCAATCTTTCGCTTATGCACTGGACGTTGCAGACTTGACAAACTCTCATGTAAGTTAGGTATGAGCCAAACAGTTTTCTGTCGGTGTTTTCATGCAGAATAGACTCCAGAACTTGACCTGGGTCACAATCATCGTAGACAGGACAATCCTCTCCTGGAGAGCTGGAAAGCAACCATTAAGTCGAGATTCCAGCTTCACTGTAGATGGGTTGCCCCCATAACTGCCCTCTTTCCTGTAGAAATCACATGCAATATCCATCACTGTCCCATTCACATCACTGTCCCATTCACATCACTGTCCCATTCACATCACTGTCCCATTCACATCACCGTCCCATTCACATCACTGTCCCATTCACATCACTGTCTCATTCACATCACCGTCCCATTCACATCACTGTCCCATTCACATCACCGTCCCATTCACATCACTGTCCCATTCACATCACTGTCTCATTCACATCACCGTCCCATTCACATCACCGTCCCATTCACATCACTGTCCCATTCACATCACTGTCTCATTCACATCACCGTCCCATTCACATCACCATCCCATTCACATCACCGTCCCATTCACATCACCGTCCCATTCACATCACCGTCCCATTCACATCACCGTCCCATTCACATCACTGTCCCATTCACATCACCGTCCCATTCACATCACCGTCCCATTCACATCACTGTCCCATTCACATCACTGTCCCATTCACAAACTAGTGGCAAAACTTGTCAGGCTCAGCAAAGTCTTGAAGCTCGCACATGCAAAGTAAACGCATATAGCAGATGTGAGATGTGCCAACACTAACAGTCCCGCAGAAGAATTACAGCTCACTGTTAATGCAGGCAGTAAGGATAAAGCCAGCATTTTACACGCAGTACTGTAAGTCACGCCATTCTGGACACCACAGGCCAACCTTTATTTTTAGTGCAGGTCACAACACAAAGCTGCTGCAGGAGCAGTGGGGAATAAAAACACACACCTGACATGAAATCCACAGGTCACATACTGCACCAAGCACTCAGCTCAGTTGCTGGGCGACCAAACCATTGGACTCCCAGTCCAGAATTAAGGAATTTGCACCAGCAAACACTGGCCCAGTAGACGTCAGAGAATCTACACTTGAAGACATTTGCTTGGCTTGGCCATGCAGAGCAGCACATGGGGATGTCTGGCATGCTGTGATGCCAGTGTTACATCACTTTATTGCTTTTTTATATCAATATTTTATGGAAGCTTTCCTTTGTCTGCGCAGATGACCCCAGCTGGAACCCTGCCACCGATGCTCAAGCCGTGGACAGAGTGTACAGGATTGGCCAGGTAAAGAACGTCATTGTCTACCGACTGATTACCTGCGGCACAGTCGAGGAGAAGATCTATCGGCGGCAGGTGTTCAAGGACAGTATTACTCGGCAGACTACAGGCAACAACAGCAACCCCTACAGGTCGGTCTTCTGTAGATTATTTCAGACATTTTATTTATTTTTTCTGTAATATAGCCCTTCTAGTCTATATTTTTTCTATTTTGTTTTTCTGGTTTCATGTTGACCTTGGTTTTTTAGAAGCTCTGTTGTCTCCCCCCTGAGTTTTCTAGTCACAGTTTGTGCTGTATTTAGTATTTCGTTGATAAAGACTTAGGCTGAAACTTTTGCCTGTGTTTTTTCCATTCCCTCCATTTAGTTATCTGGTCAAAATTTGTGTTGTAATTAGTACTCCATTGGTAAAGATTTGTATCTTCTTCCTCTTGGCGTTCACTGGCGGACAGTTCTTGTTGCTTGTTCATTTCTGGACTACTACTGTTCCAGAACCTGAGTTTTGCGTGCACATCTTCTTTACAGATCTGACTCATGTGTATGCAGACTGTTGGTTCCTTGCCCCTCTGGCAGATGCCCTCTGACTTTGAAGCAAGCTGCAAATTGGTTGACTCTTCCGACATGCATTTGGGTTGGCAGTAGTTTTATTCTTGTTATCCCCACAATGGGGCCCCAGAACCAACACAGGGAAGATTTTGATTGAAATGTTCAGTTGCATTTATGTCTTTTCCATTCCCTCCATTGAGTTTTCTAGTCACAATTTATGCTGTGTTTAGTCCTCACCCATAGAGTTTTCTAGTCACAATTTATGCTGTGTTTAGTCCTCACCCATAGAGTTTTCTAGTCACAATTTATGCTGTGTTTAGTCCTCACCCATAGAGTTTTCTATTCACAATTTATGCTGTGTTTAGTCCTCACCCATAGAGTTTTCTATTCACAATTTATGCTGTGTTTAGTCCTCACCCATAGAGTTTTCTATTCACAATTTATGCTGTGTTTAGTCCTCACCCATAGAGTTTTCTATTCACAATTTATGCTGTGTTTAGTCCTCACCCATAGAGTTTTCTATTCACAATTTATGCTGTGTTTAGTCCTCACCCATAGAGTTTTCTATTCACAATTTATGCTGTGTTTAGTCCTCACCCATAGAGTTTTCTAGTCACAGTTGATTCTGTGTTTAATCCTCACCCATTGAGTTTTCTAGTCACAGTTGATTCTGTGTTTAATCCTCACCCATTGAGTTTTCTAGTCACAGTTGATTCTGTGTTTAATCCTCACCCATTGAGTTTTCTAGTCACAGTTGATGCTGTGTTTGTTCTTCACCCACTGAGTTTTCTAGTCACAATTTATGCTGTGTTTAGTCTTTACCCATTGAGTTTTCTAGTCACAATTTATGCTGAGTTCAGTCTTCACCCATTGAGTTTCTAGTCACAGTTTATGCTGTATTCAGTCCTTACCCTTGCCTATTTTTTTCCATGCTTGCTTTCTGGTCTGATTTCCTGTACATGCTCAAGAAGATGGAAACAGGATGGATTCAAAGACATCGGTTGGAGTTCCTGAGGAAATTTCATCTGATAGGAATCAGTTTCATTTTTGTGCCAAGGGCTCTGTGAGGTAAAAGGGAATGAATGAGCAGACTGGCCTGGTGGCAGGGCCATGATGGGCACAGGATAAGCTATGGACTCAACTGATGCCCTTGGTGCTCGCAGGCAGGTAGGAGGAATACATGGTTTAGGGAGGAGGAGACTGCCAACCTTGAGGTTGCTTAAGGTGTTGCCAGAGATGACATCAGGTAGCCAAAGAAGAATATTAAACCAGCACAGAACTGGTGTTAACAATCGACACATGCCGAAGGATATACTGAAAATGGGATCTGAATGCTTATGAGCTTGTCCGATGAGGATGATTGGTTGATTAACTAACTAACTAGAATGCTCCTGGTGCCGCGTGTTGCTTTTCAGTTCCTCCCTCCACAGCTGTTCATTTGTTTGAAAAATTTAAAAAAAAATATTCTACATGTCTTCTTCTTTCTCCTTCTTCTCCTCCTCCTCCTCCTTCTTCTTCTTCTCCTACTTCACTTCCTTTTTTACTGCTTCTGGTGTCGATGGTGATATAAGATTCTGCTTCTCGCTCTTCTGACCGCCTCAGTCATAGACACATTGTTCTATTGTAGAGTTTCTCTGTTGTTATCTTTCCATTTTTTTGGGGGGTTTACCTAATGCTCTACATCATTCACCTCTTTTAATGTTGGCTTTACATGGTACGATGTCACAAACTGTTCTCTGTAAGTGGCCAAATCATTTGATTTGCTGTTTTTAAATGTAATTTTGAGTTGGTTCTGCGTCAGCTTTATCTCTTATGACGTCATTCCTGATTCTGGCCACTCCTGCAGTCCTTTTCAGCCATCTCATTTTCATGGTAGTTAATTTTCTTTTTTGATTTGTTGTGTGTGACCACATTAACAATGAGAATGTATCTTCCTCTGACAGATATTTTACTAAAATGGACCTGAAAGAACTATTTACCTTGGATGACCCAAAGTTTTCCAAGACTCAGAAGCAGCTGGAAAATCTACATGGCAACCAGAGAGAGACTGATGCAGAGCTGGATGAGCACATTGCATTTCTACATTCTATGGGTAATACAACTCACCTATATGTTCTGTCACGTTTCTACATTCTATGGGTAATACAACTCAGTCGTATGTTCTGTCACATTTCTACATTCTATGGGTAATATAACTCAGCCGTATATTTTGTCACATTTCTGCATTCTTTGGGTAATACATCTCAGCCGTATATTCTGTCACATTTCTACTTTTTGTGGGTAATAAATATATCATTGTGTTCAGCCTTATATTCTGTCACATTTCTACTTTTTGTGGGTAATAAATATATCATTGTGTTCAGCCTTTTATTCTGTCACATTTCTACTTTTTGTGGGTAATAAATATATCATTGTGTTCAGCCTTATATTCTGTCACATTTCTACTTTTTGTGGGTAATAAATATATCATTGTGTTCAGCCTTATATTCTGTCACATTTCTACTTTTTGTGGGTAATAAATATATCATTGTGTTCAGCCTTATATTCTGTCACATTTCTGCTTTAACTTGGGGATATGCGATCTTTATTTACAGTCACATTTCCAGATTAGCCTTTGAAATGTCAACTTCTAATCTTTATATTCCATTACATTTCCATGTTAACCAGGTTAAATATTATTTGTAATCTTTATATTCCAGTGGGAGCCACCGTGGTCTAGCGGCTAGACACTCGCCTGCAGATCGGAAAGTCATGGGTTCAGTTCCTGACAAGGGCCTGACTTTTTTCAAAAAGGACGTTGGCTTCCAGGTTGACCCAGCCTTGAGGAGTAGGTACTAGGTACAGTCCTGGGAAGTAAAGGCGGCCAGCGTGATCCTGACCACATCACCCACCAAGTGGCGTTTGATTTTAAAATATAGGTCTAGCCCAACATGCCAAACAGGCGTAGAAAAGGGTCCTTTGCTTACTTTGTGTTCCAGCACATTTCTGTATTCATCATCATCAAGTGCCCCGTGTGGGTTCCGGGGCCCCATTGTGGGGAAAACAAGAATAGACCCACTGCCTCCCCAAAAGCATGTCGTAAGAGTCGACTAATTGGGGAGCTTCCTTTGAAGTCGGAGTGCATCTGCCGGAGAGGCAAGGAACCGACAGTCTGTATTCAAGAGAATGAGATCTGTAAAACTGATGCACACGCAACACTCAGGTTCTGGAGCAGGACTGCGGTTCAGTAGTGGACAAGCAACCAGAACCTTCCGCCAGAGTGTACAGCTAGTGAACGTGAAGAAGAAGAAGAAGATCATCATGAAGTGCCTTGCTGACTAGCGTGGGCAATCATGCCTCCTCACAATCTGCAAACTGCATGTATCAGTTGGTGTGTTGATACCTTTCCATGCCATGACACAAGGCTGTCCAGAATTTTCTGGTATTGTCTTCCTCTGTCTCTTTTCTAGGGTCCCAACATATTCTAGTTTCCTTCTTCTTATAACATGACCACAGAACGATGACTGTCTCAATTTTGATGTTTGTGGTAAGTTGTCCTCGAGCTCCCACCTCTTTAAAGATATCTTGGTTGCTCTTTTTAACTATTGTCCAAAGAATTAGAAAGATTCTTCTATAAAACCGCATTTCTGAGGCTCAGGAAATTGTTTGTTTTCTTTATTAATGTCTAGGATTTGCAGCCATATGTTATAAAGTATGCAAGAATTTTTCCTTCTTAAGTGTCCTTCTTTTTATAAAACAGTTTTGGTCTGTTATATTCTTTTCTTTTATTTCTCTATGATACATCTTCAATCAGATGTTATTAATCAGGTGAAATATTATTGTTAATCTTGACATTGCATCACATTACTGTGTTAACCAGGTGAAATATCATTGTTAATCTTGACATTGCATCACATTACTGTGTTAACCAGGTGAAATATCATTGTTAATCTTGACATTGCATCACATTACTGTGTTAACCAGGTGAAATATCATTGTTAATCTTTAAATTCCATCTCTTTTCTGTATTAACTGGGTAAGATATCATCATGTCTATCACTGTCAGAGAAATAAACGCAGACAAAATAAAACAGGATTACCCAGACAACATCAGTCCTTGCCAAGCAGCAAACATTATGGAGATCCCCAAAAAATGTCATGCAAAACAAAGATTTGATTGCTCAGAGCACTAGCTATTAGTACAAGAATGCAAAAACAGAATCTATGCATCATTTATAAGTACATGCTTGATATTTTGTGCTTTATTCGTTGTTGATATTTTGTGCTTTATTCGTTGTTGATATGTTGTGCTTTCTTCGTTGTTGATATGTTGTGCTTTCTTCCTTGTTGATATGCTGTGGTTTCTCTCTTGTTACATTTTTTCACCCCTGTTAATATGTCGTGCTTTCTTCCATGTTATGTTGTGTTTTCTCCTGTATATCGTGCTTTATCTGTTGTTCATATGTTGTGTTCTCTCTTCCTCATATGCTGTATTCATGGTTACGTTTGATGCTGTACGTTGCAATAGTTAAGTATATTTCCACCGCCCACATTCTAATTATGCCCCATACGACTTTCTCGTGTTCTCTGATTCACACAGGTTTCATTTGGCCAACATTTTCCTCGTGCATCTCGGCTTTGTACTCGTTATATTTAAATTCTCATTCATATTTATTACCTGACATCATTCTTTCTGTAACATAACTTATCAAGGAGAAATTTAAACAGTCTGACAGAAGTTAAGAGTTTCTCTCATGTGTCTATATTTAGTATGTGGGTGCGTGTATACTTGCAGACATATTTGGGATCAGCGACCATGACCTGATGTTTAAGCAGAAGTGTGCCAGAGATGACGAAGACGACGATGTGGAAATCATTCATGGAGAGGAAGAGGTGCAGAACAACGCTCGTTTCATTGAGCATCGGGTGAGTCCACCGACAACTACAGGCCTTGTTTATCTTCTCTAGTTTGGTATTAAGCTTCTTGCTAGCGTTCTGTGTCTGTAAACTCTGGCACAAAAAGTTGTGATTGTTCATCCACTTCTGGACTTTGGTCCTGTTGCAGAACTTGAATCTGTTTTACAAAACTGTTTAACTTGTATGCAGATTGTTGGTTCCTCACTTCTCAGGCAGATGCACTCCAACTTTGAAGGAAATGACTCTGATTAGTCACCCTTTAAAACCATGCTTGTTTAGGGGGAAGGGGGGGGGGGGGACAGTAGGTCTGCCCCCCATCCCCTCCAAATGGGGCCTCTGAACCCACATGACTCACCCTGTTGCCCTCAGAAGCTACAAAACCGACACTTTGGGTCAGGGTCAATTCCTTGTTAATGTCAACTTTTGCTGCTTACTTATAGTGATCTGTTTACAAGATGTAAAGTTAATGCAATTGACTGTGTTCATGCCTCTGCAAAAATTGATGAGGTCCGGATAAAAAAGATATTAACTAAATATAGCATTTATGGAGAGTTTCCAAGTGTGTGTGTTTATTTTTTGTTGTTGTTGCCCATAAGCCTTAGTGATAGGGGTCATGGGTTACTGCGTGCGCCACGTATGTTTTAAGGCTCTGCGGAATGTATTCCATTTAATTCTTCACTCTGTTCATATTTATTTATTACTCCCTTGATATGTTTTGAAAAGCAACATTTTAAAAATGTACAGAAATTCTTATTTTTAAAGGATTTTATATTTTTCAAGATCCATGTGGTCATGACTTTTTTTTTAAAGCATTACCAGGGGGTGAAAAGGTGAAAAGGTTAGGTTTCAAACCCAGGATAATCAGTGGAGGCCAAGACAAACTTCACAGAAACACTAGTTCTGTTATATGACCTGCAGCAGATGAAAATCTGTACGTTAGGTTACCTCTGCTGCCTCATTGGCAGGCTGCATCTGTCATTTAGATGTGTGTTAGTTACCCTACGAGGCCCCAAAAATGAACATTACCCTGCCCTCAAACGTACAGAGGCTAGCCACCTCTGCAGAATTAATGTACTTTTTTTCTTCTTGAATCCATCTGTCAGAAAATGTATACCAAGAGGCCGTTAGCCTTGATGAAAGCTATCCTGCAGTCCCTATCTCATATGCAGGAGTGCGAGGGAATGAAAGAGGTGATTTTCTGCTTTTAAAAGCAAAAGCTACGGGAACACTTGTACTGGACAAGGGAGATATCCTGAAGACCATATATGAAAGAAGGCTGATAGAAGGCTTGAGATTAGATGAAATAACATGGGCAAGAATGTGCGAACGAGGAATTGAGTGTGGATCCAGTAAGGAGGGACGGATGAGAGGAAAAGAGCATGTGTATAATCAGTGTACTACGGGAACAGTTAGCATCCATACCTTACGACATTTGCTGGGAGAAACGGTGCATTTGTGGGCATGCCCTGTGTGCTATAATGTCGATTCTTAAATCAGTAAGCAATCCCTATCTCACAGTATACCATTATAGATGTGTCTTCGTTGAGACTGGAACAGACCAGGTTGCATTTTTGTTAGCATAGTTTACAGTTTTCTGCTAACAGAAGCAGCCTGGCCTGTATTGATGCATTGATGACCCTGCTTAGGTAAACTGTATCCTGTGTGTTTCAGGTCACAAAGGCTCAAATGCTGATTGCAGAAGAGTCATCTGGCCTCATTCCCTACGAGGAGAGAAGCAAAGGGCGGATGAAGTACCCACCTACAGCAAAACCATCCACAGTTACAGGAGGGTTCAAACCCAAACCAAGTTCATTATTTACTCAAAGTAAGACCAGCATGGATTCTTCTTCTTTATGTTCACCTGCTGTAAACTTCTCTGGAAAGTTTTCTTTGTTCGTCCACTTCTGGACTTTTAATTTTGTTCTAGAACTCTAGTTTTCCTCGTACATCCGTTTTTTTTTACAGATCCGGCTTATATGTATACAGACGGCTTCCTTGCCTCTCAGGCAGCTGCACTCTGACTTTGAAGGAGGCTTCCTTGCCTCTCAGGCAGCTGCACTCTGACTTTGAAAGAGGCTTCTTTGCCTCTCAGGCAGCTGCACTCTGACTTTGAAGGAGGCTTCCTTGCCTCTCAGGCAGCTGCACTCTGACTTTGAAGGAGGCTTCCCTTGTCTCTCAGGCAGCTGCACTCTGACTTTGAAGGAGGCTTCCTTGCCTCTCAGGCAGCTGCACTCTGACTTTGAAGGAGGCTTCCTTGCCTCTCAGGCAGCTGCACTCTGACTTTGAAGGAGGCTTCCTTGCCTCTCAGGTAGCTGCACTCTGACTTTGAAGGAGGCTTCCCTTGTCTCTCAGGCAGCTGCACTCTGACTTTGAAGGAAACATCTTGTTACGGGTCAGTGGGTCTAGTGTTCTCCAGAATGTAGCCCTGTAACCCACACATGGACGTCATGGTTTAACTATTGGTAGAATAATTAACTTCTTGCAGAGACGGCTGTTTCAGCATCTTCTTATAACTACTGATATCATCAAAGTCGGAATTTAACTCTATGCTGGCTGCTAAAGATGGGGACGGAGCAGTTATAGGAAAGTCCCGAGTGCTGTAATCTTCTTTTTCTTCTTCAGCATTCCGAGCCCTTGAGGTTCATTGCTGCAGATATCACCCGCCTCCATTCATCTCTCTGGTTGGCTAGCTTACTTAGTCGAGTGCTGTAATATAATATATTATAATTAAAGAAGTTGATGTTTTTGGGTCAGTCGATAACCACATGGATACTGTTGCAGATTATCATCATCAATCCTTTACAGAGGGTCGATCTCATCACGGCACACCTAAAGGTCTCTGTCTCCAGCCAGTTGTCCAGCACTGTGTGCTTTCAAAGCTAGTGAATCTTCAACATCCTTTGTCCACACTCACAAAGGTCTGCCTCGTTTTCCAGAAACTACCCTCCATCACTGTTCTCCCCCACATCACCTTTGTGTTTAACATGGCCACAATACCCCAGCTTTCAGGACAGGGTGCTGTTTATGAGCCAGTTCTCCTCGATGTTCACATCATATTGGACAGGGCTGATCATTTGCCAGGCCCACAGAGACCTGGCAAATGGCCCGTGGATCTTTGACAGTTATATTATATTAATTATCTTGTTATGCTAGGGCTTGAACCTCTGGCTTGTGATCATCTCCGTTTTCAAAATTATGGCCCCTTAGTAAACTTTGTTGAATAGCTGTGATGTAGGATGTTGGTGTTTTTTTTCTTCTTGGTTATAGGTATCGTAAGCAATAATTAGGTTTAGTGTTCTTCAACTTTTTCACACCCGCAGACTGGCAAAATGGGGGAAATTGTTTTGCTGAGCACCGGACAGCTAACCAAACAACGGAAACAAAAAATAAATGTAGATACAGTTTATTTGTTAAATCCAGTGTCACAGCTTACAATTTTTGATTCAAGTGATATTTGCTGCAGCTCAGAGGTTGCTCATGTGGCAAATAAAGCCTCACCTACTGTACAGGAATGTAGTTTCCTAGTCATAGTGTAGCTACATGATTAGGTAAATGCTTTTTTTTTTTTTTTGGTCCACCCGGACATGTCTGAGACTCACAAGTTGAGGAACACTGATTTAGTTAACAGTCGTCAGATGAAGAATACTCTGTATGCTACATATTTATGTCAGTTGAAGCCCCACCCACATGGGTCTTGTTATCCATCTTCATCTTGGCTTAGTTGAAACTGCATTGTTTTGTGAATTAAAACATGTTGTGTTTGGCAATGTTTCTATCGTCAGTCAGGGATCACACTTCAGTGTTGTGATGTTTTTATTTTCAATCGATTCTGTTTTCAATTAATTATAACAATTTTATGGTTGGTGATGTTTTATGTTTTCAGTCAGTTAAAACAATTTTTTGTTTGGTGTTTCTATTTTCAGTCAATGAAAACAATTCTTCAGAATGTGATGAAGAAGTGCTGTCGGATGAAGAGATGACTGATGTACAAAGTAATAAGTCACTGAGTGCAGTGATAGACCTGACGGAGGCCCTCGGTGAGGATGTCACATCGGCAGTTGACGTAACCGGAAACGTGAGTGCTGTGAGCGTAGACCTGTTGGTTTATTGTAGTTTGATTTGAATCACTGTAATTCTGTTGACATCACTAAATTTAAATAATTGTAGTACTGTTGGGATTATTGTAACAGAAGTATATTGTTTATGAGTACCCCAAAGCATATCGTAAGAGTCAAAAATTTGGGAGCTTTCTTCGAAGTCAGAGTGCACATCTGCCTGAGAGATTAGGAACCAACAGTTGACAAACAAATGTGAGACCTGTAAAACAGATGTGCATGCAACACTGGGGTTCTGGAACAGGACTGGAGTCCAGAAGTGGACGAACAACCAGAACTTTCCTCCAGAGTTTACAGCCGGTGATCGCAATGAAGTAGTAGTTTATGGGTAATAATAATAAAATAGATTGAATAACGCCAGTAATGTGTAGCCGACACACTCATAAGGTATTCCCTGAAAATATGCCCTAGCTTGATTGTTCATGATGCTAACTGTATAATTTCATAATTTGTTTCAATCACCATTGATGTCTGGTATTGTGAGAGATAATGGATAGAAATAGAAATGGCTGGGGCATATTGAGAGAATGTCAGAGAGGTAAAAACTGTATACACCAGGGAGATGAATGGTCGTAGACCATGCGACAGACCAAGAAGATGATGGAGAGATAATATCCGGATAGACCTACCAACACTTGGTGTCACCAACTGGAGAGAGAAGACCAACCAGAGAGATGAATGGAAGCGAGTGGTGAAATTCAAGGGCTCAGAATGTTGAAGAAGCTAGCAATGCAAGCGCTGCCCCAGTTATAAGCCTTATTTGAGATCCTCAACCAAAAGGTTGACTTTCTTTTGCCAGTTGAAACACACGGCTGATGTATTAACTTTTAAAGGGATGAATGTATGCATAAATGCACAAAAAATCTTATCGACATTAATTTTTGAATAACTGTATAAATGTGTACTTGACTAAATGTAGATTTTTAGGGTGCCTGAACAAAAAAAAAAGTAAGACATCCCCTGAAATTAGGCAACGTGAAGGACCATATGATATGGTTAATGTCACGCCTGCCGCCCTTACTACTTCCCAGGACTTTACCTGTTACCCATTTAAGACTTTGTCAACCTGGAGGCCAAGGTCATTATCAACAAGAAAAAAAGGTCAGGCTCTCTCGGAACTTGGACCCACATCCCCTCGGATCTGCAATCTGGCATCTAGCTGCTAAACCATGGCACCCCCTCCTATCCCTAAAATTAAGATGTGCGGCATCTTTTAGGGGAGAATTGATATGAGACTCTCCTGGGAGAAGACAGTATGTCACAAAACAGTTTGTCACAAGACAGTATGACACAAAACAGTTTGTCACAAAACAGTTTGTCACAAGACAGTTTGTCACAAAACAGTTTGTCACAAGACAGTTTGTCACAAGACAGTATGTCACAAGACAGTATGTCACAAGATGGTATGTCACAAGACATTTTGTCACAAGACAGTATGTCACAAGACAGTATGTCACAAGACATTTTGGAGAGCTGTGGTGCGGGATATATGAAAGTGAACATTTTGGTTTCAGCTGACGTCCCCCTGTAAAAAGAAAACCAGAAACTCGAATGAACTTTTGCCAGTCAAGGACAAGAGCAGGCGAGCACTGCAAACTCTGTCCCCGGCCGAAGTAGAACAGCGCACAACACGCACTCCGGTCGCAAATGCTAAAACTTTAGTGACAGAAGAACTGCTAATATCTCCGGACATTCATAGTCCAGTTGTGAGCCTGAAGAAAGTGCCTGGAAGATCTGCTAAAGCTCACAGTTTCTCTCCCAGCCCTGTGAAGTCAGGTTTGAGTTTTCCAAAGTCAAGTATCATCTCAGGAGATGTAACTCCAAGAGTCAATGGATCTCCACAAGGAGGTTCCAAGAAGTCTGGAGGAGCATCCTGCAACACAGCTGACCTGTTGAATGTAAGGAAGGCGTTTGCACTGAAAGCCACTTCAACCCCCCAGGATTTTGACAAGGGTTCAGGCATCTTTGTGGAGGAAACACCAGATAGTGATGTCAGAGCATCACGTAACCGTAGTAACAGCAGCAGCATCTCATCCAGCTCCAGCCAGAACAGCATGGACATCACCCATGCTTCTAGGAAACTGTCCTTTGTCGTGGCAGATTCCGATCAAAGTTTCAACAGTAGCATTGGAAACTCATCATTTGCTGCAGGAGAACTGAAACCCAAGACCCACAAAGTATCGGGTGTAGGCTCTGCCATGGTAGGATCACCCATAAATCCTGATCATCAGTCTTTCCCAGAGTCCGCAGATTTCCACAGTGGTAATGTTCGTAGGGACTTTGCAGCAGAAGGAGATGGAGAGACCAACTCCGCTGATAAACTCCTCAACAATCCAGTGCTGGACACAGAACATAAAATGTCTACAAATGATATTCTTTTGTCACCAAAGAACAGATGTCAGAACTTAGATTGTCACCAGGAGTCTAGAAATGCTACAACAAAGAGAAGGAGTGTTTGCATACAGAAGGCAGTTATTGATGAAAGTGATGATGATGTTGATGATGATGATGATGATGATAACATTAAAGATGTTTCACTTGCAAATGATGAGACTGAGTATTCCAGTGACATAGAAGTGATGAAAGCTGAAAGCGATGAGAATGACAAGGAGAATATCCCGGTGCATGTAATAAATGTAGGAGGTAGGCGGAGAATTGTGTCTGACAGCGAGTCGGAGGAAACTTCTTTTGAAGTTGTGGAGAGTGATGAGGAGGGAAAGCCGGAGCCGAGGTCACAAGGAAGAGAGGACAGTTTAGCAGAGGTCAAAACTTGAGGCCTTGGCGCAAGGTTGGTGATTGTTAGTTGTCTTCGCCTGTGTGTTTTTCTTTCATTTTCTTGATTGTCAGTTGCTCTTTTGTGTGTATGGGGTTTTTCTTTCATTTTCTTGATTGTCAGTTGCTCTTATGTGTGTATGGGGTTTTTCTTTCATTTTCTTGATTGTCAGTTGCTGTCATGTGTGTGTGTGTGCAGTTTTTCTTTAATTTTCTTGATTGTCAGTTGCTCTTATGTGTGTATGGGGTTTTTCTTTCATTTTCTTGATTGTCAGTTGCTCTTATGTGTGTATGGGGTTTTTCTTTCATTTTCTTGATTGTCAGTTGCTCTTATGTGTGTATGGGGTTTTTCTTTCATTTTCTTGATTGTCAGTTGCTCTTATGTGTGTATGGGGTTTTTCTTTCATTTTCTTGATTTTCAGTTGCTCTTTTGTGTGTATGGGGTTTTCTTTCATTTTCTTGATTGTCAGTTGCTCTTATGTGTGTATGGGGTTTTTCTTTCATTTTCTTGATTTTCAGTTGCTCTTTTGTGTGTATGGGGTTTTTCTTTCATTTTCTTGATTGTCAGTTGCTCTTATGTGTGTATGGGGTTTTTCTTTCATTTTCTCGATTGTCAGTTGCTCTTATGTGTGTATGCGGTTTTTGTTTCATTTTCTTGATTGGTAATTACTCTCATGTGTGTATTATTCGTTTCATGTTCTATCTGTTGTTTGATCTACAGACTAGTAAATTCAAAAGAGAATACAGGTAGAGAAGACTAACCACATATGAAATGATTTGTTCGAGAAAGGCTTCAAACAAAATCAGAAGAGATCATCTGAGAAATAAGTGGTTTATAAGAACTATAAGTACTTTGCCTTTTGCTACCTTTCAGTCCCAAGGAACGCATCATATGTCCCTATGTTCCAATCTAGAACACCCAAATAAACACAAAATGTGCTTATTTTATGTCTGTTTTTGCTACCCCTTGGGCTTTCGTTGCTAAATCCCCCGGAACTGAAAGAGTTAAATTATATAAATCAATATTGTCGGTTACAGAAATCACCATTGTGAAACTTCCTGCTCTACTTGCTGGGTGACAAGTATGCAACACTGTAATGAACCTTCATTCTCTGAATAATTTCTGTAGGTTTCATCCCTTTACTGAGGAAAAAAAAAATAAAAGAACGCTGCTCCTCATTGGTTCATGTCAGAATTGGGATGACCATCTTTAAACTCATAATGATGTCCCTGACTTCGTCTGCATCGTGATGTCATGTGCTCAACACTCTTGACAAAAATATTGGGTTCTTTCGTTATAAGTCACCCCCAGATGACATCACAGGGACAGTCCAATATTTTATAGGGTGGTAAGACCGGGTTTCCCGGCTTTGTGGTGCTTTTAACTACCCCAAAACATCTAGAACTGGACCTAACCCCAACCCACCTATGTTCCACGGGAGAGTGCAGGCTAGGTCCCACAACTGCCTGCAGTCTAGGTCCCATGACTGCATGCAGCCTATCTACCACCCCCTGAGCTTAAATATTGGACTGTATTTGGGAATAAAAATAAAAGCACCCAATATTGACAAGTTACAAGACAGTGTCATGGTTAATCTTAATTCCCATCAAACTTTTAAGGTTTACATTTGAAGCCCCCCTCATTAATGTTCAGGTTTGATTTAGGGGCAATACATAGTTGATAGCCGGTCTAACTGACATAGTCAGTTGTCATCAACTTCCACTTTTGTTAAGTGACATTACAGGTGTGGTATGCGGCATCAGTGGCTTAGGCGTTGCGAGTCTGACTCGTAATTCCAACGTACTGTGATCGAAACCCACTGCTGGCTGCATGGATTTTTATCGTGGTATGAGGCGTCGCAGGGCTACCTAACCTAAAATGGGTACCGGGATGTATGTCCTGGGGAAGTAAAGAATGCCGGTGCAATGCTGACCATTTTACCCACCTAGTGCCGATTGGTCTGTAAAAATGTGGGTGCTCTTCCCATATACCCGATGGCGTGAAAAGGGATCTTTATTTTCTTCTCTCACTGTTACAGCTGTGGTATCCGGGGCCTTATTTTGGTGCTAAAAGAATAGACCCACTGACCCCTAATGATCTTGTCATAAAAGGCGACTAGTTAGAGTGTCCTCCTCTCCGAACTGAGAACTACATCTGCCAGGGAGGTGAGGAACCAACAGTCTGCATACAAATAAGCCAGATCTATAAATTGTGTATGTAAAACTCAAGTTCTATAACAGACCTAAAGTCAAGAAGTGGGTGAACAACCAGAACTTTCCACGAGAATTTACAGTAAATGCAAATGAGGAGGAGAGCTTTGGCAAGGGGAGGAACAGTTTGCTGCCCATTAATCGATTGGTTTCACTGGCTGTTGTCATTCCGTGTGGATGCATAATATTTTTGATGTCATCAGTCCAGTCTTCTTTGGCACCCTGTTACATTCATGGTGGATCTCTTTTAGGTGTAAATTGGTACTTAGCTAAAATACTGTGATAGATAAGTAGCTGGTACTGCCCTGTTTCCCTACAAATAAAACCTGTCCCGAAACTAAGCCCTAGCTTGATTTTTGTTTGTGGATACTTTTAATATAAGCCCTACCCTAGATTGTCAGTTCCCTATGTGGGTTTTGGAGAAAACAAGAATAGATCCACTGCCTTTCCGACAAGCATGTCGTAAGAAAAGTAAAGATCTCTTTTTACATACATCGGGCATATGGAAAGAGCACCCATATTTGTACAGACCAATCGGCACTAAGGGGGTAATGTGGTCAGCATTACGCCCGCCGTCCTTACTTTCCCAGGACATACATCCTGGTACCCATTTTAGACTGGGTCGACCTGCGACGCCCGATTAAAAAAAAAAAAAGAAATATTAACATTCAGGCAGCCAGCTGTGGGTATCGATCATGGTATGTTGGAATTACAAGTCGGACTCGCAACACCTAAGCCACAGATGCCATGCCAAGCTTGTCGTAGGAGTTGACTAACTGGAGACTTCCTTCGAAGTTGGAGTGCATTTGCCCGAGACACAAGGAACAACCAACAGCACACAAATAAGCCAGTAACATCGATGTACACGCAAAACTCAGGCCCTGGCACAAATGGCTGAACAACCAGGATTTTCCGCTGCAGCTTACAGCAGGGAAACAAAGGGGAAGCTAGAATGAGAGTCTTGTTGCCGAGTGACCAGCTGGAGTGCAGACACCACTAGTGGGCACTTGATAACAAACAGATGTGGTTCATAATTAAAAATGTACATCACTCATGTGAAATAAAGAAGCAGAATTTTGGCACTGGCAATTTCTAGCTGCTTCGTGTTGCCAATGTTCCTAAGTCTCATAGTTTTTGTACCTACAAAAAAAAATTTAAAAACATCACCCTAAATTAATCTGTAGTGCATTTTTTAAGCATAATTTAGTATACAACTATACCAGTCATATATTCTGGAAACCAAAATATCTTGTCTTTCTTTCTTTCTTTCTTTATATGTCCTACTGTTACTTCAGGTTGTAGCCCAGTGTTGTGGGTTCTAATAACCAAATAAATATTTGTAATTGTGTTTGACAGAGAAGAGCTATGCAGATGTAAATGTCAGCCCAGACAGTATGGAAGAAGAGGAGGGGGAGGTTGATGAGGAACAGAATGAGAGATTTCAAAACTTGATCTCTGTGGCAAGGTAAGTTTCCTTGCCATATCATTTTGTATTAATATTTACAGTAATACCTCATTATACATCCTTGATCCGTTTCTGATCCTTGGACATATACCAAGCAGGACATATACCAAACAGAACATATACCAAACAGGACATATACCAAACAGGACATATACCAAGCAGGACATATACCAAACAGGACATATACCAAACCTATTTTCCCATAAGAATGTTGAATTAAGAATTGACATCATAGCTCTTAGGGCACTCCTATAAGCGCTCTGTCCCCATCTTCAGCAGCATACGAAGAGTTCCAATTTCGATGACACCAGTAATTGTCTGATTGTATATCCGTCTTGCCTTTCCGTTGAGCATCTGCTAGATCCCCTGGTAACTCCCCCCTAGCGCCATGCTCCTCAGTTGTATATCCGTCTTGCCTTTCCGTTGAGCATCTGCCAGATCCCCTGGTAACTCCCCCCTAGCGCCATGCTCCTCAGTTGTATATCCCGTCTTGCCTTTTCCGTTGAGCATCTGCCAGATCCCCTGGTAACTCCCCCTAGCGCCATGCTCCTCAGTTGTATATCCGTCTTGCCTTTCCGTTTGAGAATTGCCAGATCCCCTGGTAACTCCCCCCTAGCGCCATGCTCCTCAGTTCTATATCCGTCTTGCCTTTCCGTTGAGCATCTGCCAGATCCCCTGGTAACTCCCCACTATCGCCATGCTCCTCAGTTGTATATCCGTCTTGCCTTTCCGTTGAGCATCTGCCAGATCCCCTGGTAACTCCCCCCTAGCGCCATGCTCCTCAGTTGTATATCCGTCTTGCCTTTCCGTTGAGCATCTGCCAGATCCCCTGGTAACTCCCCCCTAGCGCCATGCTCCTCAGTTGTATATCCGTCTTGCCTTTCCGTTGAGCATCTGCCAGATCCCCTGGTAACTCCCCCCTAGCGCCATGCTCCTCAGTTGTATATCCGTCTTGCCTTTCCGTTGAGCATCTGCCAGATCCCCTGGTAACTCCCCCCTAGCGCCATGCTCCTCAGACATTAAATGATCTATCTGTGCCTCCGCACTGTTCACTTGCTCCCGAAGGGCCCTCACAACATCCAGCTTGACATACATCAGTTCACCACCAAGTGGTGCAGAACTGGCCACTCTATCTGCTCATTCCCTAACACATTGGCATACCCTGGGGGAGAATATCCAAAGGATGTTAACTACCCTGGACCTCTTAAGTGATGCTTGCCACTCTTGACGGAGCATACCTGTCTCCACCTTTCTCAACATGCTCTGTGAGTCAGTTGCAATCATGGCATGTGTGTACAGCTGATTCTCAAGCCAGCGAAATGTAGTAGTGACTGCCTCCATCTCCATTCTCAGACTAGACGTTTCCATAAGAAATAAAGGGGAAGAATGATTAATCTGTTCCCATGAAAAAACAATATTATTTTTGGCATATTATACACTGATGAGGTTGTGTAAAAATAATTTAAACACTGCTAAAATACTCAAATACAAAAACAGTTAGATGAATACGTTAGATAAAGAAGAAGAGTACATTAGATAAAGAAGAAGAATATGTTAGATGAAGAATAAGTGAAAATGTAACCTCACTTTACCTTCCTGAGAAGAGTTGAGTGTCTACTAGGATGTTAAGCAGAGAAGAGGAGGAGATGTTATTGTTTGGAAGGAGAATCCCTTTCCAGGTGTGAGGTTTGAACAATGGATCAACATCATGGCACACGAGTAGTAACCCATTAATGCTCCGTTCTTCTTCTAACTCAAGTCTAATTCCGAAAAAGCACAGGCTCTGTAGCACCGGCGAGGATCCTGAAATACTTTTGGGTAGATTTTTAACTCCAAATTTTGCCCCGGCAGCACCGTTGGGCTACTCTTTTTGATTTCCAACTGCCAAGGGATTTTGCGCGTGCGCAACAATGCACACGGGCATCCGATCTCACTACCCAGAGACAAGGGGGAATTACTGGAAATCCAAGTCCACATGAAAAAATCCCAGCCCTTACCGGGGATTGAACAAATGAACGGATCACCTCACCTCATTATGCTGTGGCTTCTATCAGAAGTGTCTGTTGTCCTAGCATCTTGAATATAGTAGTGTCTGGCTGTGATTGCAGCTGAGATAGCACTTGATGATTGTGTTCTGTTATCACAGCTGAGTTAGTTCTTGATGATTGTGTTCTGTCCATCACAGCTGGGGTAACACTTGATGATTGTGTTCTGTCCATCACAGCTGGTGTAGCACTTGATGATTGTGTTCTGTCCATCACAGCTGGGGTAGCACTTGATGATTGTGTTCTGCCATCACAGCTGGGGTAGCACTTGATGATTGTGTTTTGTCCATCACTGAAGTAGATGTAAACTGGGGCTTTGGGCTCACCTGACTCACCTCAACCATTGATCTAGCTCGCCGTTGCCCACTGCGAGCCTCCAGCTACCCACTGGCTCAGCTCAACATTGAGCACTCACCTCAAACATTGATCTAGCTCGCCGTTGCCCACTGCGAGCCTCCAGCTACCCACTGGCTCAGCTCAACATTGAGCTAGCTCGCAGTGGGCAACGTAGTGAGCTACAACACACCAAACATATGTGGGGGCCCCCCACCCCCCAGGGGCCCCGCCTGAACCCGTCGGTCAATTGAACAGGTGTGTGGAGCTCTCGCTACCAGTTGGAAACCGAACACCCATTTAGAGACTGACATCTCATAGTGTATACCCACCCATGACTAAAGTATTCCAGCCTAAACCCTTGTGGGCGCTGGCCCCGCCTCAGTGCTGCGGCCACAAAATCCTACCCGCCAGAGTTAGTGCAGCACTCTTACTTTCTCAAATCATTCGGGCTCTACTGGGACAGCCGAGGGGTTGTACATCTGACCACACCTCCCAACGACTACTAATTACGGGTGATTGGGGACTCTGAATTATCCATCGACCACGCCATGGCCATCGCAGCTTTCGAAGGACAAGCAGAGATTGTTGAGCTATGTAAGGATCTGGGTGCTACTGATTTCAACAGGCGATGAAGAGTGCTGCTGTAGGGGGACACGAGGTGATCGTGCGGTTATGCCACGACGAGGCGATGTAGAGCGGTTGTGCCATGACGAGTGGGTTTGATTCTAATGTTGACAGCAGGCTATGGAGTTAGCCGCATATGGCGGGCACGACAGTCGGATCGTGCGGTATCCACGACGAGTGGGGCGTCATACTATGTCGATAGGTGGCTATTTACCTGGCCGCTGCAAGTAGGCCACGAGCCAGTCGTGCGGTTGTGCCACGACGAGTGGGGCAGTCTTCCACCGATGGTGACTAGTGCTATGGTCTCAAGTGTGCCGCAATATGGAGAGACACGAAGCCATCGTCGTTGATGCCACGACGAGTGGGGTGCTTCCTATGTTGATAACGGCGTATTCGGGCTCTTAGGCCAAGCTAGGAGGCCACGAAGCAATCCGTGCGGTTATGCCAACTACGAGTGGGGCGCTCCGATGTGGATAGGGCTAAGGCCTGGGCCGCGGCACCGGGTAGGCTACTAAACCATTCGTGCGTGTTATGCACGACGTGAGTGGGGTGCTTCCGATGTTGATGATGCTATCTCCCGAGGCCTGCAGGCTAGGTGGGCCATGAAGCAATCGTGGCGGTTATGCCACCGACGAGTGGGGTGCTTTCTAATGTTGAAGAGGCATACATATGCCTTGGCCGCCGGCAAATGACCACGAGGCGAATCGTAGCGACTAGATGCTATACCACGCGTGGGGCCGCCACTGGATTTCACTCAGGGCGAACTGGTCAATGCTGCTACATTGGACCTACGAGGTGATCGTGAGGGCTGTGGCCACGAGTGG